TTTTGTGATAAATGATTTTTTTTTTGGTGATACATGATGTTGATGTTTACCAATACCAACCTCATAGCCTCCTAGGTTTGTGCTTCACTTTCTTCTATTATACATTCATGCAATTTGCCTTATGCACTATACAAAAAAAATCATGCATTAATAATTATCATGCTTCGTGTTTTTTGATCGAAGGAATTATAATTCTTTGTAATTTTGTTATTCGAAATTTAATTCCTTTTCCTTCTAATCATTATCCCTTCCATGATATATATATACATACACACACTAGATTGTAACTTAAAATTGAACTTATCGATAGAGTTATAAGCTTCTTTGTTCTTTTTTTTCCTTAATTTCTAATCAACTTAAAGGTTTTAAAAAGGTAAGGATTTTGAGATTTATGGAGCAAATAAGCTATGTAAAAAATACTTCTTATTCTCTTGTTGCATGTTGCATGTTTCATGTAGAGACTTTTATTGGTTTACTATAATTTATGTCTTTAAGATTCACGAATCGTAAGAAGATAAACTCACTGTGGTAAAAATAAAAAAATAAAAATAAACGTAAAACATTCTTATCATATATATTATGATCACTATTTCAAATGCAAAATAGACTTCTATTTTTTTTCCCAAAGAATTCTACTGTTACAGTTGAAAGTAATGAAAAAACTATTTTTTTGTTCATGTCCATTGTTGAATTGACATTAGCTCAACTCACTTGTTTGTTTTGTGCTTATGGCTTTTTAATTTTATCTTTCTTAACTTAGTTTTCTCTTTACAAAATTAAAGGCATGGATCTCATAGAAAAGGAAGCTTGCTATTTTTCACCGAGAGATAGGAAGTGTCCAAATGAAAAACGACCAAATAGATGGATAAGATGCGAAGGTTATTAGAAGATGAGTGGACAAACTATTAGCATTCCAGAACCTAACGAGAGGACAACTTTGGGAATGAAGAGCATACTCAGCTACTTTCTCTATCCTGATGTCAAAACCAGATGGAATATGCGTGAATTTGTGTTAGACAAATTCGTACTACTATTTAGAGGCAATTCACAAAGTGATAAGGTATATTTGCAATCTGGCTAATCAAATTTTTTTATCGTACACATATGATTAATGATAAATGTTAGCATCCAAATTTTCCTCTCAAAAAATAAAAAATACAAAAATAAAATAAAAATAAAAGAGAAAAGCGAGTGAAAAAAAATTGAGGGATGCAATTCGAAAAAAGAAGAGAAAAGGATCAAAATAAAAAATCTTGTAAAATAAGGAACCAAACTAAACTTCAACCAAAACTAAAATTTTGGTATAAATATCCCTCTTTCTCACTCCTCAAACCAGCCCCCCTTTCGCTAAAAAAATCCGACTAGCTACTCTCTCTCCCTTTGAAATTCTGACCAGCTACACCACCGCCATCAGCCATTATCCAACCACCTTGCCGTCAACTTCTCCAAAGCCAGTCGATGCTACTACTACCAACCATGACGTTGCCTATCCACTCCACTTCTAACAGCCTCTTGTCGTATCATTTTAGCCACCAATCACGCTAGCCATGCCATCGCTCGTTTAATCCACTACTAGCAGCTCCTCGTCACCGTTCCAGTAACAATAACCCGCTCAAGTCCAACCACTGATCATGCCGATCTAGTAGCTTCTCCTCGTACTAGTACAGCTATCCGATCCACTCTAGCAGCCACTCAATCCAGCCACTGATCTAGCCCCAACCATAATTGTTTGATCCATCACACCCGCATGATCTCCATTTTAGCAGCAACCATCCGTCCAACAGCCATCATCCAAGCTATCAACGTCCAGTCCAGCTCCTCTAGTACTGTCACCATGACCAGCAGCTCGGTCCAGTTCCTTTAGCAGTGTCACCATGACTAGCAGCTCGGTCCAGTTCCTCTAGCAGCACCACCACAACCAACAACCCAATCCAACTCCTCCAACAGCACCACCATGACTAACAGTTCAGCCCAGCCTCTCCAATCGCTTCTTCACCAACTAAAAACTATCTAGGTCCAGATCTGATAACGAGCAGTCATCCCTCCTCTCTAATTGATTGAATATTCAATCTCCATTGAAGCTGAAAAAGTTGGAATTGACCCCAATTTGACAACCAAAATTCCTTCAATCTTTTCATATTTTTTAGCAATTTATTTTTTCTCCTTTTAATTTAATCTATATTAAATTCAATTCATACTGATGTGATTTTAAATTAATTTTAACTGATGTGTTTAAGATACGCCTAGTGTATCAACCCTATGAAAAAGAGTCAAGACCCCAAAAAACATCGACATTGAGGTAGAATAAGGGACTGATTATCCTGTGATTATTTTTTGTTTTTGCTTTATTTATTTATTTATTTATTATTATTATTATTATTATTATTATTTGCTTATGTGATTGCATTCCATTGGTCTGAATCCTTTTTTGGACCATTTTTGCTAATTGTAATATTTAATTTTCTAATTTATATAAAATGCAATTTTGAGTCGCATCGGTCCGAACATCGTTTTTGGATCATTTTTGCCAATTGTGATAATTAATTGATATTGTGTCAATTTATCTTAAGAAAATATGATGTTTGAGTTCGTCGATTCGAACCTTTATTTGGATCATTTTTGTTAATTTTTCCCAAAATAACGTTTTGAAAAATCATGACTTTTAAGTTATGTTGGTCTACACCTGGATTTAGACCATTCATGCCAACATTGCCTTTCATATCAATTTTATTTGTCAAATTTATTTACTCGAACAATCATGATATTTGAAGTGGTGTCGATCCGAATCTCGTTTTTGGATTGTTTATGCCAACTACAAAGAGTTTTACCAATTTTGTCATTTTTGCTATTTTGATCTCTTTTGCCATTTTTGCCTTTTTTTGCTATCATTTATGCCAACTTCAATGATTTTTGTTAAATTTATCATTTTTTTCGTTTCTATCTATTTTGCCATTTTTCTCGTTATTGTGTATTTTGTTTATTTTTTATATTTGCCTATGTTACCTATTTCGCTTATCTTATCTATTTTGCCTATTTTTTCTACCTTGCCTATTTTCCTTATCTTGCCTATTTGCCTATTTTACCTATCTTACCTATTTATAAATTCTATTTTCATGTATGCTATTTAGGTCGCATTAACCACATATTCTTGCGCACTCATTATATTCTTTTCATTTTATTTTCCTGTCTATTGATTACAAGAGTAAGAGCGAGGTCCCCGACCGGCCAAGTCCTAAATGATTCGTCCGATTGAAAAATGTTCTTAAAAAAAAGCATAGACGTTCATCATAAAAAAATTAGAAATAAAGTCAGCTTTATGTGCAATGCAACGTGTCTTAGGTAAGATGAGGTAGAGTGATGTTTAATCTTTCCTACACGTAATAAACTTATACCTAGAACTCTAAACAAACTAGTCATATTGTTTTCTAGTGATCATCATACTAGGTGATGACTATTTATTTTTGCCCATTTCTCATTTTTTGAAATCGTCACTCTCGCTCCGACTGTCGCCATGCGACAATAAAAATTAGCATGTTTTGTTATGGAGAAAGACATTAAATATAGTCTTGTTTGTGCAGCTGGATGGTGTGGTGTTGTGCAAAATTTATTACGCTAAAAGGATAAAAGATGAAAAGAAAGAGGACCAAAGAAACCAGAGGGATTGTAGAGAGGTTCAGCAAGTGCTTCCTAGTAATACCAGTGTTGCTCAATATCGAAAAATTGAAGTATCAAATTACCACCTGAACCAATGGCAACAGGAAAGTGGCCGGGAACCAAAAAATGTTGAATTCTTAGATGTTAACCCTCTAGGCAATTCAACATTGATGATCCCAAATACCCAAGCAAGTGAACTACTACCAATCAACCAAGTTTTATTCAACTGGAAACAAAAAATCTTGTCTCCATTTGTGCGCTTGCCAGAATCAGGAGGTATTGAATTCTCAAATACAGACTCCACAAGCCAGCAGATGATGATCTCAAACACCCAATTCAGTGAATTATCACCAGTAGTCAACCAGATCTAAATAGCAATCAACCACCATTGATGTCTCCGAATAAAGGCCTTCAAGGAACAGTCAATGACAGTTTCAGAAGGAGCCAAATACAGAGCAACTCTGCTTTCAATCCATCGATTACTGATGACACCATGTGGAACCAATCCCTAGATCAGACTACATCATCTGACAAGCTTCTGGCACCATTAACACCATCTGGAGGCAGTAGTAGCTCATTGCTTGGAGAGGACTTCAAGGGTGCTATAAATTACCAGGACTATGTTAACGTTCTTACTTCGACGGAATAGGAAGATTAATTTAGGGCTAATTGGAATTAAAAAATTCAAGTTAGTTACTTTAAATTTTACTGTAAATCTCCTGATATTATTTTTTGGAGATCGAAAGTTAGTGGCTGTAGTATTTCGAACTTTTGTCACTCTTGCCAGTGTGCGAGAAGAGGTTTGACATGCATGAATGGGATTAACTTGACTCGAAGTATTTGCAAGTCTAGGTAGATTGAGAAATGATCACTTTATTAGAATTCTTAGGTTTTCAACCTTTTTTTTTTTTAATTTCATACCCTATTTGTTGTGTTCCTGTGCTCAAATCACATACAACATGTAGACATTAAGACATGCAACTAATTCTAGACTTTTGAAGTTATTTTTTATTCTTTTTGGTTACAAAAGAACAATTCGAACCTAATAAGATTTTTAGGAGGAAGAAGGACCTTGGTATTGATTGAGTTATAAGTTCACTTGCTTTTAAATTGCTTAATTTTTAGACCCAAAATTATTGAGATTTTCTATACACGCAATAGACTAAAGCTACCAAGAGGAAAACTCAATCCACATTCAAATTATTAGAGAAAGAGCTACACCTATTCTGATTACTACATGAAAATAGTAAATGATTATTGCTTGTTTAAATCATTAGATTCGGGTATGAGCGTTTCCCTTTATTAGGACAAGTGTAGTTTTTCTTTTCATGAATACAAATAAGCTATTAATTGCAATAATTAGGATTCATATTTAGCCTTTTGGATGCTAAATCAAATGCAAGTCTTGTCTTTTGAGTTTGCGAACTTCCAATCAAAGAAAACTGCAATTCAGTTTCTTCAGCGAATGCAAGGCAATAAAATCCACTATCGCCCGCCTTCACCATGATCTGTTCGGGTCCTAGTTGGAAAGTTTTATAAACGCCAGAAAAATGGAACTCCACACTGGGGATATTATTAGAAGTTGGTGTAGGCATCTTGAAACAACTCTGAAAAATCTCCCCTATTTGTACTCTTCGCAGACCTAATTCTGCAGCCTTCTTAACAAACAAGTCATTAAATGGATGAAACACCCTTGACTCTAGCCATGTGAGAAAGGTTCCCAAATCAATAATCACACCACCAGTACCATTAGGTTTAATTATCCATGCATCATCCGGGATCTTAACTCTTTCACCACCAACTGAAATCCCATTAAGTCCCACATAGTAAGATAGACGAGCCGGATTATCCACGAGTGGCACAGTTACTGAGTCAGGATAATAGTAAGGTGGGAGAACATGTATGCGCAATTCGTTTTTCCCTTCTCCATAATGTGCAGGTAGACATACAGTAAAGTTTTGAGCATTCATCTGGCCAATAAGTGAGTATTTACCTCGGTTAAGACCTAATACTCCTGTGACCCTACCTTCTTGTTGATTCACATCTTCAACGTCTCGGGAACATCCAAAAACCATACGGTCAAGCAGGACGGTGTCAGTTGTTGTTGTGAACTTATCGGAACCAATTTCGCCTCTGCTGTATCCTCCATCTGCATAATTTATCTTATATGCACAAGAATAATCACTCTGACGACAGCCAAAACCCCCATCTTTGCAAATGGGATCATCACAACTAATAAAATGATGAGAAGATGACCTTCTGGGATCATATAGGCGAGATCTTTTAATACAATTTTTGCATGGATTGCAATTCCACCAAATGAGGACAGAACCCGTGTCCATCATGAGTACTTCACGGATAAGAGGGGTGCCAGCTTTAAATGCTGCTACATAGACTCCATTTACATCAGACACAAAACCAAAATAAGGAACATAATAATCAGTGGGGTTAACTTGAGGCTCAAGATGGGAGGCTTTAATTTGCTTGATCCTTGATATGTCATTGTCTATACGAGCTTGAACAAGAGATTTATGGTCCTTGAACTTGGATTTGGTAAATAACTCTTTGTTGTAAATAGGAATGGTAAAGGCAGAGGATGGTGCATTAATAACAGATGAAGAAAAAAGATCGGGTTCTGTTGTGTTGGATGACATAAAATGATCGATCATTTGTGACATTCTTGTAACATCAAGAACAACAGTACTGATATCCTTGCTTGATGATAAAATGATAAAAAGTGGAGAAGATACAAGGATTGACAAAATGGTTAGAAAATAGAAATTGAAAATCACCATTGTCGCCTGCTGGTTAATTTGTTCTACGCTAATTCCTCTATAGTTTTTAGGCTTTATATACAGTGAGGTGATTTATTGTTTTTCTATTTTTTCTGTCATATGAATATACTGTAATGGAAGTAATTTATCCCGTTTCTATAATCGGTTATTAACGGCTATTACTCCTTTGTATTCCATATATGTATCAAAGAATATATTCTCCATGTTCAAAAAATATCTTCTACTTTTCTATCTATATACGTCTCAAAATTATGCCTTTTAATTAAATTTTATTTTTTATAAAATCATTCAAATATTTTTTTTAATTTGTATAAAAAATAAAAAAGAACAATCTTTTTGGAACTATAATAATGTATTGCCTTATTTATTTAGCATAGTGTTATCAAATAATACATTTCCATAGCTTGCTTACGGAATTGATGGCTTTTTTATCGACTAATTAATACTTGAAAATTGAATATATTTTATTTATCCAAAAAATTAATGATTAGTTTAATTAGTTTTTTATTTGGTTGTAGGAGTTATTTTTGGACTAGTTTACCAGTCACTTGAGACTAAAAGTTTTCTTTTCGGATCATTTTAGGAGTGTATGCCCCATATCGACCTGATATGTTAATTCAAAAATATTTTATAAATTACCCACAAAGTCAAGTTTCGTAACAAACATTCTTGACCACTAAGCCAGCTTCTTAAGATTATAAATTATTTAATTATTAACAAACAAAAAGAAAGAATCTAATTAAGATGGAAAGTCATTGAAGTTGCATTATTATAAAAATTTCAAAAAAGAAGAATTAGTCAAGATAGATTCCTTTCCATTAATTTTTTTTTCTGTTTTTATATACTTCATTGTGATCTATGTCCCTTTTTTTTTTTTTTTCCTAATTTTCGAGAACCTGCTTTGGTAATTTATCGTGATCTTTTGCAAAGAGTGACTAACGCATCAGGATGGAAAATCTTTCATGATTTATTTGTTTGCACCGTTTATTTAATTATTATAAATTATTTTGAAATTTTTTATAAGAATATTTTGGTCCATTTGTATTAGTGGTAACTAAATCTCCAAATAAATTCATTAAGATCCGGAATGAAATAAATACTTATGCAGCAATCTTTTAATTATTCTCTTAATAGAGTTTGTTAGATACGATGGGAGTATTTTCAGATAAAAGAATGATATAATTTAGACATATTGTTCTCTATCGAAAAGTATGGAATAGTCTACCTATCTATTTATTTTTGGGTTTACCTCACATTCAACTCTTATATAGTTCAATTTTTTTTTATTAAGACCCTTTACGATTTTTTAGCTTGATTGAAATCCTCTCGCTCTTATAAATTTATTGATCCGGACTCTCCGTTATAACTCGTTAAATATTCATTTGACGTGACATATTAAAAATAACGATAACAAATCATGAATTGACATGTGTCATAGTGGGTCTCACTCTAATAGTATATGTCCAAAATGAAAAAAAAAAAAAAAAGGTTAATTTTTTTATTATTAAACAAAAATTTTGTAACACCCCCGACCTAAGACCGAGAATATTACTATCGTTAACCTACATTTGAAGTGTAATGAATGCAAACTAATAAGGCACTATGACTTATATATGTTATTCCTAGGTATGGAATATGCAACAAAAATTTACTATTTGACTATTAGGTCTTACATTATAGTCCAAAATGCATTATCAATTTTTCTCATTTTATCATTTTATTTTAATTACTTGAACCGTATGGATCGAATCTAAGATGCTCGATTTTACCAAATTCTTCTTCTATTGTTCTATGCAAATTTATTTATTAGCTATCTAATATTCAGTAATTACCTTCCTTTATTTCTATTCTTTTAGTCGTCTAATTCTATTATTTTTCATATTACTTAGTTATTTTGTTTCATTAATAAGGACAATATGCTAGAACCAAATAAGAAACTAAGAAATAAGAAACTAATAACACCCATTTTACACTACCATATTGTTATCGACCTAGACCAAAATTTTGGTAACTTAGCATCTACATTGATTTTTATACAAACTTTAACTAACCTAGAGCCACATACTACAAAAATAGCTAATTCATTTATTTACATCACAAGCGTTAGTTTTTTCTTCATTTGTTCATAGCTTTAAGCATAGTATAAAATAAACCGGCAAGTCCCAACACATGTGCTATAATACCTAGCACTAAGAAGAAAACTGTATGCAGGAGATCCACCTAAAACCCGAAACCCCATCCAATGTACATGTGACGTGTACATCCCTTAGTAATCAGCTCATTAGTTAAGTGTGCCATGAGTACTGCGCTATCTATACCACAAGAAATTAGGTGAGCTATAGCCTCGTAAGTTAACCTATGGATGATGCATGTAAATGAAATGCATGTGAAAACCATTTGCATGTTCATTTAAATTCTTTTCATGCCATAAAACTCTCATCAAGAATCATTCGAAAATCTTTTATGTTTTTAGACATGTCCCATAATAGGCATTTCGGGGTTTTCATAATATATCCGGCGAATCAAACCCGTCTACGGATGCACCCTATCGAGTCTCTAAAAGTGCACATCCGCACTCATCCGATCTTGAACCGTGAACCATAAATGGTATGGAAAACTCCGTGAAGCCCTTTTTATTACAAACATGAAAGCCATGAAAATCAATAACCATAAAATGTTTTCAAGTTGCTATTGGAAAATCCTTCACATAAAATCCTTTTTTCATGACTTTAAATCATTTTCATAAACTTAGCATGCATATGCATTTTATTAGAAATGCATTACCACTCTACTTTCATGAAATGCATGCCATGAGTGAAATGAATTTAGGTCGTAACAATGCATAATTTAATAACATAAAATGCACCATATACATTACCTCATTAAAAACATTCCAAACCATTCCAAATAATATCACTATTATACAATACAAAACAATGTACTTCCATAATCATCAACACCAAATCTTTCATACTAAACATATTAAATGGCATCAAAGGAACCAAGTTACAATTAAATTGTATAAACCAAAACATAAACCCTAAAATTTTAACCTAGGTCGAATGCTAACCATAACCTAACCCGAGCATTTTCTTCAAATTTCAACACCAATTTCTCATAAAATTTCATTATTCCTTAATATCAAGAGCTAACTCAATTAGGCATTCATTGATTAATTATATGCATAAACCCTAAATCGAGCCTTAATGGGCCTAAACCTTAATTTAGGCAATTTAAGCTAATTTTTCAATTTCAATGTAATTTCTCATTCTAACTCATTTCACTATATTATTTTATGTTTAAATTGATCAATTGCATCATTAGGAGTCAAATGTAATTAAACCCTAATTTACTCCCACTTTGGGCCAAATATGGGGCCTAAGTGATTTAAGTGAAATTCTTCAATTTTTATAAAATTTCTTACTTTCATTCATTAATTCATACTTAATAAACTCCTAATTAACTAACAAGTCATTAAATGAGCAAGAGAATTAAAACACTAAAAATTGGCATTTTGGGCTGAATGGTTCCCTAAGGGATTCAATGAAAATTCTTCAATTTTAATGATATTTTTCACACTCAATCACTAATTAATACCTAATTAACATATAATCAAGTGAAAAATCATCAAAACAAGTAAAGCATAAAAAATCCTAAAATCACAAACTTGGCCCGAATGCTTTGTTCTTCCTAACTCTAGAAATTTTTTATTTCTAATCATCAATTTCAAGCTCAATATATATGTTTCAACTTCAATTTCATGAATTTCTAACCTAAATTCATTTTTCTTAATTTTTTTCATGAAGAACCCTAACCCAAATTTTCAAAATTAAGGCCAATAAACTCAAATTAAAGCATCTAAATCATCAATTGATATCAATTAAACACTCCTTGTGGTGTAGGTGAGATTAGATTACCTAATTAAGCTCTAAATCACACTTGAAAAGTTGAATTACTTTGAAAATTGTCCTTCCCCTTTTTGCACCAATATTTCGGCCAAGTCTCCCTAAGTTTCTCCTTGTGATTTTTGAGTGTGCAACTTGAAATTTGGACCTACTTAGGTGATTTAAAATGTCTAAAAATGGTTGGAAGTGATTTGGGTGGAAATTTGGCAAGAGTTTGCCTTGTGTTTTTCTATTTTCCTTGGATTTTTCTATTTTTCTAGCACCCATATTTATAGGCTAAATTGGTAGACTTTTGACTTAATCTCCACTCTTAATTTGGTGCAATCTTGGCGCTTGATTCTCCTTTTAATCTCCTACATTTGGTTAAATCCTAGCCCTTTATTCTTCTTTTAATTTTAACCCTCCATCTAGCTCAATTCTAGCCACCCATTTAACCAAAAGTCAACCTCACTTAATGCCTTAAGTCAAGCAAAAGAAGGGAAATTTTGCTTAATTTTAGTTCTCCAATTTCTAGAGTTTTCCTTTAATTAGTCTTTCATAAGTCCCTCTTTTATTCAACTCGATTTCCTTGAGCCCTTCCTTTAAAGGTTTTCTAACAACTTTTTGACTCTTAAAGTTCATAAATAATTTAATTTCAAAGTTCAAACTCTTAATTTTATGCAATTAGGTTCTTAATTCTAAAATTTTATTTCATACCTTTTTAGTATTCAATTTATTTTCATAATAAATTCAAAAACCTCTTAAAATAATTTAATTATTATTCACAAAATTTTTATACACTTATTTAAGCCTTTAAATTAATTATTTTGTGTAAAAATACATTTTTTTCCTATAGAAAATATTCCCTATACATTGAAAATTTTATCTAAGTTTATAAAATATTCTCACACATCCTAAATATTTTTTCTATGCCGTCCGGATAATTTTCTTGTACCTTTAAAGTACTTAAATTAATTAATTTACCTCAAAAACACTCTTTGTGCACAATAAACTTCATATAAAATAATCACAAAGCATCGTGAAATTCATCCAATAGCATCAAATAATCTAACACGCTCTAGCAAATATTCTATACAAACAAAACATTTTTCATCCACATTCATCATGCTTAAAATAATTATTTCACACAAAAAGTCATTATTCAAGCATAAAAAAATTAATAAAATATTCATTGAGAATGAAAAAATGCCCTAACTGCCCAGAATATTCTAGCAACCCATTAAAGATTATTCTACTCCCACAAAATATTTTTCATATGCCTTTAACATTTTTAAATTGATTAAATAACAATTTTTAACGGGTATCAAATATTACATAGTTAGGTTTTAAAAATAAATGGGAAACGACCACATTGGCCCACCTTATTATCAATAAGCAATAAAATCGAAAAAAAAAAAAAAGCATTGTCCTTCTCTCTCTATCTTTATTCTCGTCCTCTTCTTCTTTCTCAATGGAAACAATTCCATAAGCTTGATGTTGTTCTGCTTGTTAATGAGCTGCCACTCATGGAAAACCTCCTTAATCTTCTTCTTCTTGGGTTTGGTCTCCTTCTCCTCGGCAACTTCCTCAACATCACCATCTTCTTCCTTTTTAGGCTTGTCATAACCCAAAATATTTTCATATTTTGGTTATTTTATTTGTTCTTTATTTTTTATTTTATTTTATCTCATTTTACTTCATTTTTTAATTTACTACAAAAATACAAAAAAAAAATTGAAAAAAAAGAACATATAATACAAAGAAAAATATACAAAGAAAAAAAAAGAAAACATAAAAATTGAAAGATTTTACATCCAGGGGTGCAGTTGAATTAAATGTAAAGGTAATTGAAGTGATTGGGAACCCAATTGATACAATTGGATTTACAAAGACTAAAATTGCTTAACAAAAGGATTCAATTGATAAAATTAAATGTACAAGGACTGAAATTGCATACAAAAAGAACATGATTGCAGGCAACAGAAATCGAAAGGGACCAAAGTGAAATTTGAAAACAAAAACCAGGACCAATCAATTCAAAATTTTCTCTGCAAATTCGTTCCTACACTCAGCAATTAATGTTGATTTTGTTGCACACTCTATTGAACAAAAATCCCTCCTTTTCTGCTGATTTGAATCCACGAATCACGGATTTTGCAGCAAACCCATGCTGCCCCCTCACTGTTTGACGTCAGATTTGGCTTATAAATAGGAGGAAGAAATCAATTTCAAGGATTGGAAGAAAGTTGGAAAAACTGGGGGAAAATTCAGGGCTGAGAAACACAAAAAAGAGCCACAAAGGTCTCCACAATTCGCCTCCCTAATCTGAAGAAACCAAAAAAGGAGAAAATGTAGTCTCTGCAAAGTAAAAAGCTTGGGGTAGCCATCTCCACAGCCACCTCCATAGCTAAACCCACACAAAACCTCCCACCATCATCATCTCTACCAATCTCCTCCTCCATTACCAAGCCTCCCATTGATAGCCGCATACCAAGCCATCACCGATAACTCCCTCCCTGCCCAAACCAGAGTTGAATCACACACACACACAATGACAGTTTCTCCTTCATCATAACAATCACAAACCTCTAGCCACCACCACGCCATCTTCATCCTCCCTCTCATCATCTACCTGCCAAGCAACCCAAACAGTAGCTTCACCATGCCTTAAACCTTGCTCTCTTGGCTGAAGACCCACACAACCAGCTGCATCCTTGCTGCCCGAACAACCTCCTTGTAGCAGCCCAAACAGCTTCCCCTTGTTGCTCAGGCAGTAGCCAATCCCACACAAACCGCCCCTACCGCCCACACAGCAGCCCCAGGCTCTGACAACTCCCCAGGTCTCCATAAATCCTCCACCAAAAATCCAACCGAATCCCCTTCTCTCTCGGGTCAACAGCCCCTCAACGCACAAGACCAGCCATCTCTCTTCCAAAGACTTCAAACCAAACAGCCCTAGGTCTCCATAAATCCTCCACCTCAACAGACCCATCCCCTCTCTTAAGGTAACCCAGCTGCAAGAACCCATGGCCATCACAAATGACCGTGCCCGTCTCCTCCATTGCCAATCAACAACACAAGCTCCCAGTTACCAAAATCTCTCCTCATAGAAGAATCAAACCCAAACCCATAAACAACATCACAAATTTGCCCCTCCTTGTCGTTTGTTCACTCCCACAACCCAATCCTCTCTCTTCATAACTCCCTCTTTATCATTGTTTGTTATCTATCATCCGGATGAAACAGAGGATAAAGCGGGCACTTCAAGGAAAAAACCCGGCTTTCTTTTAGGTTTAAAAATGGAACGGAAGGAGAGGAAGGAGAAGCATTGTGGATCTTGATGGAGTTTTCGAGAGACATGGACAAGGCAGAGAAGATGGAAAAGATGGAGGGCATGAAGTTCTGATTTTGTTCGGCTTGAGTCCGGTATCTTGTTTATTTGTGTCTGGCTTAAGGAAAATGTGACAGGAGCGTAGGTTGGGCTTTTGTTTAGGAAAAATGGGAAAGGGGGCTGGACTTGGAAAGCCAAGCCTGCTTGCCAAGCCCAGCCCGCATGGCCCAAATCTTGGGCTGGTTTCAGCCAGCCCCTTTCGCCCGCCTTAAAAAAAAAAAAAAAAAGAAAAGAAGAGATTCCAGTCTAGCCTCTCCCGAAAAAACAAAAATATAAGAAAAAATGGGCTAGACTGACTCCAGTCCACCCCCAAAAAAATGAAGAAAAGAGAAGAGAGAGTAAAATGTGTCTTAGTTCTAAATTCTAAATTTATTTTTTATGTTCAGCATTTCATATGTAATTTAGATATTTTATTTTTTTAATTATTTTAATTAACATAATTTTAATCTTTATTTTATTTTATGCATGTTTTTCTTATTAATTTAGATGTTAATATTTAAATTTCTTTTGCTTTATTTAATTAATGTAATCTTGATTATTATTTTTTTTGTATTTAGACTAAGTAATCAATAGGTGGATAACTATAATGTCTCTTATTTAGGGACTGATTATGGTTTTTCCATCGATGAAAAAAGAGAAAAATCAAAAAATATTCATTAAAACTTTTAATGAAGTCTCCTATTTGATATGGATTACCATAAAAAAATTAAAAATAATAAAAATTTTCAACTAAGTCTTTTATCTAATAAGGACTCGTTCGACAAAAAACAAATAAAAAAATAAAAATTCTTAACGAAGTCTCTAATTTAATAGAGATTGTCGTTTGATAAAAAATTAATAAAAATTCTCAACGAAGTCTATTATTCAATTAGGATTGTCATTTGACCAAAATAAAAATATCAAAAATTTTTTTTGATGAAGTCTCCTATCCGATAAGGACTATCGTTAAAAAAAAAAGACAAAAAGAAAAAAAATATATAAATTAAAAATTTCTAACGACGTGTCCTATTTGATAGGGACTCGTTGTTAGCTTTTTTTTAATATATATATATATATATATTCAAACAATCATGATTTTCTTCGACACATCGGTTGTGTCGAGACTCAAAAAGTGGATCCGATGTTGAATCGGCGTGTCTCTCGATGAAGAGGTCCGACGATCGTCTCAATACGATGCCACGCTCAAAGCTAAAAAACTTAATTAAACTTGAAAAATGGAGTTCAAATCGAAAAATAATTGAGAAAAAAATAAAACACTTTAGGAGATGAATTTATGACTAAACTAGACGTGTTACCTTTCTTTGAAAATGACACTTTTGAGTGATTGATATCTTCTTAAGAGCGTAATCGACTCTTTACCATATAATCTCTAAATCAATGCTCATTTTAGGTTTTTAGTTCCTTCAATACTAAGCGGCGACTCCAAACTCGTAAATAATTCAATAATAAAAACCATAAAATTTAAACCATAGATTTTTAAGTATATTTTTCTCTGGAGTCCCGTCCGACATCGGGTAGCGACATAGTTCATCATCCTCTTCATCACTAATCTCCTTCTCAATCGTTCTCTTAGTCCACAAATAGATAGGAAAGCTGATAAACTCAAAGTGCTTCTTCACAAGATCCTTAATCCTACTCTTGTCTAAGTACTCAAGCTACAAAAAATACTAACACAAAAACATCAAGTTAGAAGCTCACATCAAATCTAACATAAACATGCGAGCAATAACAATATCCAAAAAAAAATTTAATTTAATCAGCATGCTTTATTTACTTGATCCTCCATGAGGAAAAAGGCTTTATTTACCTGATTCTCCTTGAGGAAAAAGGTAACCTTAGGACCCTTATCAAGTTGCTCTCCGTCAACATCCCTTATAACAATGAAAGAACCACTAGCTTGTGACTCTCAAACATATTGCTCATCATCATTATGTTTAGTAGTGACAACAACCTCGGCCTCTCTGTGACAAGGTAAGCAGAATAGAACCCAACACATCAGCCCTAGCTTGAAATGCCTCCATAAACTCCTTCATCTTCGATCTAGTAATCGTTCCCTGATGATTCATCAAATCTACTTTCAAAACAAAAATCACACAAAAAAAGTATCATTTAAGTCCTAAAACCTAGAATCTATATCAAGAAACAAACTTTGCATTGACCTAGGTATCATGTTTTTAGAAAAGAATCTTGGATTTGATAGATATACTCAGAATCAAAATGAAGAAACAAAATTTTCATCGACCCGGGTAGAAATTTTATGAAAAAGATTTTTGGTTTGAGAGAAATATATACTAAGAATCAGAATCATGAAACATAATTGCACTAATCCATGTTGCAATTTTTTGAAAAAGAATCTCGGGTTTGAGAGATAAACTAATCAAAATTAGAATAAAAAACAAAATTTGTTTAATAATAAATAAACTAACTGGGGTAGTTTCATCTTTTTTCATTTATTTTTAAAAAATAAATATTAGGTTAATAATAAAAATCTTTTTTAATTTTAGTTCTTTTTTTGTTTGGACATATACTCGAGACAATTGGGGTTTCCAATGTCACGTGTCTATATCTGATTGATCACCATTAATTTTAACATATCATTTAGGATGCACAATTAACAAAAAAGTCTCAATTAATAAATTTGTAAGAGTAGAGAATTTTAATCAAGCTAAAAAATTATAAAAGATCTTAATAAAAAAATTCGAATTGTACAGTAAATCAAATTTAGGATAAACTCATTTATTTTTATTCCCATTTAAAAAAAAAAAAAAAAACTGCTTGTAACTAATCCTATAACGAATGCTTGAAGAACATTCATAAACCAGAACCTTGTAGTTATGATGAATGAAAATTTTAAACTTGGAACATATAACCAATGATTTGTGGAAAAGGGAACGAAATAAGAAAAAATAAAGTTTATCGATTTTCCTTTTATCTATCGGAAAATATATGACTGCTTTCAGTTAGGACCTTATTTAAGGAGTAATAATTAAGGTGCATGGCTTGTTTTGCAAAAAAATAAAAAAAAATTATTAGGAAATTTTTTTTAAAATATATATTTCTAAAAATTAACTTATTTTTTGTTACTTGATTGTATGAAGAAAAACAATTTTCAGGAAAATGAATTATTTTTCACTTGTAGCTTTGGCTGATAATAGTAAGTTAATGGTAGTGTTAATGATAGTGATTGTGATAGCATTTGCTGTGTTTGGGGAAATCATATTAATACAGTAATGGTATTAATATATGATACAACAATTCATTAACACCAACTTCTGGATGTTGGATCAATCATTTGGAAATAAAATGTTTATATTTTAGAAAGGGGTATATGTTATTGAATATATATATATATATATATATATATATATATATATATATATATATATATATATCTGTGTGTGTGTGATACAACAATATTTGATTACCACACACTAACTACTCATTAATCTATTAACAAGTGTCCAAATAGCATTTGTTATCCATGCCCATTTATCTATTTCTTAAAAGGAATTATAACAAAATAATCTAATTTTAAATGAAAAATAAATAAATAACAATTAAAAGCATATAATAATAGAGCATTTTATTTTATTTTTTAAAAAGTCCAAGAATTAAAAATTCGATATATTTAATTAACCATAATAAGAAAAAAGTAGAGCTATATTTATTTACAAATTAATCTCGTGAAAAGAAACCCTATATTACTATATATGTTACGATGCTTCCTGCCGAAGGCACAGTCTCATTAGTTCAACTCCTAATTAAACTCCAAAAGTTCTTCACAACTCAATTCACCATACGACAACAATGGACAAAGCAATCCAAATTATACACAAAGTCTTTTAAACATAGATTTTATTTCACCGAAACTAGTACGTAGTTAGTGTTTTTTTTTAAAAAAAAAATTCTATCTCAAAATTGATTCAAGATTATCTGTTAGCCAAAAAAAAAAAAAAAAAAGTTGAGATAAGAATAGCATTCCTCTTTTATTTCTTTATAATTAAACTCATAAAAAATCAAATCTCTATTAATTATCTCTGATCCAATCAGTAATCACCTTATTTCATGCCATTTAATCTTCGTATACCTTAACTCAAATTCCAAGTTTAATTAACAATGAATCTCTCTCCTTTAAGAAAAAAAAAAACCCAAAGAATAATATTAAAAAAAAAATCTTAACCGACCGTAAGAAGGTAAGGAAAAAAATAAGGTGGCGGGAGTAATCTATAGATTCCTATAAATTAAAACCTACCAAATATAGCATTAAAAAACGTAGTAGCAGTTTGAGAGGCGCTCCGCTAGCCTCGCTTCTTTCTCAATCTCACGAGAAAGAGAGAAATCATAGAAGTCAACGTCATCAATGCACAATCCTCTTTCCTTCCTTTTCCCTCATCATCACCACCACCATGTGAATATCTGTTGATCTTTCTCTCGAAACATTATTACGGATCTCTTCTTCTTCTGATTTCGAGCTTCTTTAACGTGTGACAGAGCTTCTTCTGAATATCATGGTGTGATTTTTTGTAGAGTGAAAAAGAAAATATTAAAGGTTTCTGTAAAACAATGGAGAAGAAGAAGTATCCGATTGGACCCGAGAATTATATTCTTTATGAAGAGATCGGTCAAGGCGTCAGTGCTTCTGTTCATCGTGCCCTGTGTGTTCCTTTTGATGAAATTGTCGCCATCAAGATTCTCGACTTTGAACGCGATAACGCTGATCTGGTAATGATTTTTGTTTTTGCTTGAATATTGCTTTCTAATTACCATTTTTTTTTAAAGTTGGAATTGATTAAGGTTGGATTTTTATTCAAATTTCATCGTCAATATCATAGAATGAAATCTAGGTTGAGAAAATATGTGTTATAGGTATCCCTAGTTCTGCAGATACCTGATAGCTTGCAAATATTTAACAAAAAAGAAAAACATAAAGAAAATCATTTACTTGAAAATTGTGGGCCATCGGATTTTGTGGGGTCATTAGAGTACAAGGAAATTTTTTAATTTTTTATTATTATTTTTTTTTTTGGTGGTATCTTGTTGTAATACTTTTGATAGGTTTTGTCTTGTCATGTTGTAGAAAAGATTAGAACTTGCTTTTTAATTTTTAATTTTTAATTTTTTGAAATTTATTACAACTTGCTTTTGTGCATGTTCCGTCTACGATTGGCCATAGGAATAGTGTGTTTTAAATTCTACAAGTTCTTTTCTTGCTTTTTTTTTTTGTTTTTTTTGTTGATTTTGTTTTATATGCATGTACTGGCGCTGTTCTGACAGAGAAATATTTCACGGGAAGTGCAAACAATGATCTTGGTGGACCATCCTAATGTACTCAAATCACACTGCTCGTTTGTTAGTGATCATAATTTGTGGGTTGTGATGCCATTTATGTCTGGGGGTTCTTGTCTTCACATATTGAAGGCTGCTTATCCTGATGGTTTTGAGGAGTTGGTGATAGCAACAATACTACGTGAGGTATTGAAGGGAATAGAGTATCTTCATCATCAGGGCCACATACATCGCGATGTTAAAGTAAGTTATCCAGTCTTTAGACCTTTTAGTCCTTCTGGTCGATCTTTTATTTATCACCTAATGGAGAATAGAGTTGTATGTACGTGTTATTGTCTCTGTCAGTAGAATCTGTGTTATCTTGGTATTATGTTACATACGCTTTGAGCAATGTCCTCTTTTTGTTATGCCTGTACCAAATAACCATTCAACTCCCCAGTTAGGACTCCTTTTGGTCTCTTAATTTCATTTTAGTTTCTTAGATAACTATAATTCATTTATTTAGTTCTTTGATTGTGATTGTCTTTTTTAAAGGCTGGAAATATTCTCATTGATGGACGTGGCGCAGTCAAGTTAGGAGATTTTGGTGTTTCTGCTTGCCTTTTTGATTCAGGAGACAGGCAACGCATGAGGAATACATTTGTTGGGACGCCTTGCTGGTATGCTTTAAGAATTCAAACATTATCAGTTCTTGATTCTGTTTCGGACCCCATCATTTGCATGTTACAGAAAATTAAAGCTAGCCTTAATTAATTTGAGGATTTAGGTATGCATAATGGAGTCTACTGTCGAAATATTTACTTAAATCCGAAACTTTTTTTAAATGATAATGGAGAAAAGAGCATCCTAGAAAATTTTCATAGAATTCAAATGGTTGAACAAAATGATAAAGGAATACTCCAGAATACACCTACAGAAGTTTTGTATTGGAAACAATAGTGTGAATACTTCAATATTAGTTAGCCTCTACGGTGCCTTATACCTCTGTTTTCTGTTTTTCAGGATGGCACCTGAGGTCATGGAGCAGTTACATGGATATGACTTCAAGTAAGTCCACTCTCTTGTCAAGAGTTTCTCCATCTCACCCAGTTTAGATATCATGGAGAAGATGTTTTGCTGACAATTTTCCTACAGGGCTGATATCTGGTCCTTCGGGATAACTGCTTTGGAGCTTGCTCATGGCCATGCTCCTTTCTCAAAATATCCTCCAATGAAGGTGCCTCGACTGTAATACAATTATTGGTAACATATTTTGTAAAGCACCATGAATTTTATCAGTCTAACTCAAATTTTCTCTTGTAAAGGTACTGCTTATGACCTTGCAAAATGCACCCCCAGGCCTGGATTTAGAAAGGGATAAGAAGTTCTCTAAGGTATGCTCTTAGCAAACTAGTAGAGTTTCATACTCAATTAAAAAGAAATGAAAATTAACAGATTGTGTTAATACCATTTGGTTCAAGCATGTCGCATGATATGTGTTTGTTCTTTTCCACCCAGTCTTTTAAGCAGATGATTGCTAGTTGTTTGGTAAAAGATCCTTTGAAACGACCTTCTGCAAAGAAGTTGTTAAAGCATTCCTTTTTCAAGCAAGCCAGGTCGAATGACTACATAGTACGGACACTATTGGATGGATTGCCTGATCTCGGTGATCGTATTAAGGCTTTGAAGGTTATTGAGTTAATTTTTAAGGACATGAGTGCACCAATAAATAGCCATATTTCCTATTCTGATTTGGGTTGTGAACTTAAACATTGCCCCATTTTCAGAGAAAGGAAGAAGACATGCTTGCTCAAAAGAAGATGCCCGATGGGCAAATGGAGGAATTATCACAGGTTTGGAAGTTTTGTTGTCTAAAGTAGAGATTAATTTGATTTCTAGTAATACTACAATATTTTGCTGTCCGATCTTTTTCCTCCTAAGTTGTGTGGATTTATGCTTCTTTCAAATTGCAGTAGTTTATTTCTTACATTTCAAGTATAGATTTCCTATTGCTTATTTTTCCAATATTAAAATGTACTTTTGTGTTCCATTAGCAATCATCATAATTTTCTAGTACCAAAAACCGAAAGGATGGCTATCCTGTAAAATAATGGATGTTTTTCGACATAATTTCAAGTTCTCAACTATCTTGAGCACTCTTGAGCTTGCTTCAAGTTTTCAAGTTTAAAAATTGTGATGGATGAGTTTATTTAAGAAGGCTGGTTTTTTTTTTTTTAATCAATTAACATGATATTGGGTGTCGCTGTAGATTTCTGTCAAGCATTTAGCATTCGCATGCCAATTAATTGCTATTTGTTTACAGCATCAGTTTTGTGGTGTTTAGTTGTAGTCTGCCATTTATGTTTTTGGCATGGCGATCATAATAAGTCTAATTTAGTTTTCGCATGCCATTTATGGATACTAAAATATACTTCCCGAGGAAGTATTTGTTTCACCTACTGCTCTTATATTTGCAGATATCTTATCATACTTAATTTTCAATATTTTGCTTGTAATCCTATGCAGAATGAATACAAACGAGGAATTAGCGGTTGGAACTTCAACCTTGAAGATGTGAAGGCTCAGGCTTCCTTGGTACAGCAATGGCTAATACCGTCTCAGTTAAAATCAAGATGGTAAAAGTGGTTAGCATTCCTTGTCTCATACTCTCATTTTTGGGTTCAGATACCAGATGCTGAGGACCCTATGACTGATAATAATACGGGAGGAAGCTCGAATTCTTTGTCTACAATTGATGGAGTTGAAAAGCAATCAGACCCTCAGAATTCATCCCTGGGACCAGTCACAGAGATGATGGTATTTTGATATTTGATTCTTGCAATCTTGTAGAGGGATCGGTGCTTCAATTTTCATCTTATTTACTTGGTTTCTTTGGTTCTGAATGATCATAAATTTGACAGGATGATAATGATGTTGTGCAAAACCGAGCTGCTGCCTCGCTCCCATCAGTCGACTCCTCTCTAAACATTACCAAGTGTGTTCCTAATCTATGCTTTTATCTTTATTTAATCGTTTAGCCACTTATAAGAAGTAACCAGTGAGCAGCAGTCCTTCTTACAAGGAAAAGCTAATGCTTAGCGTTGTCTTTAAATAAAATAAACCCAATAAAAAATGATTCTGTCTATACTTCTGCGTGAATGCTGTAAAATTTATATCCTTAATTATCAAACAATCGGTTAGCCATACGTTTACTGAACTCTAATAAGAACTATGATTTATTTTCAGAGTTAGATGTGTAAAATCCGATGATGACTCAAGCATTGCTAGTCCATGCAATGAGCGACATGCTTCACAAAATTCTTCACCTCGTGATAGTGTTGAAGATATCAACGGAAAACCTAGGTTTGACATCTGATCCTATGTATTAATTCGAACTTGGAATGATTGAATTTTTATTCTTAGTACATACTGTTTACCATCCTAGGTCCTAATAGTTACACTATCATGTTTCATTTTATTATTGAATATATTCTACATTTTTGACATTCCATATACTATAATATCTGACTGAATATTTTTGTGCTCATGTGGAAATTTATCTTAACATCCTTTCAAATATTTTTACAAAGATTTTTGGAATGTATACAGTGACAAGCTGCAAAATCAACCACCAAATAATTCAAATATCAACGCAGCAACAATCAATCAAGAAGGAGATGATGCACCTTCTGAAAATCCTTCCAAAGCATTTAAGACGTCAGGCAAGTACTTAATTTTTTGTCATTCTTCTAGTGTTTCCTTTTCATCTACAAAGAATTCCCAGTTTCTGATTGATTGGTACATGATAGCTTTGCTGTCTTAGATTTTCTTCATTCTTCTTGCATTTTCTGCTCATGTGGAAACAATTCCCAGTTTTGCATTGATGGATATATCATACCTTTGGTCCCTTGTTCTTATAATGAGATTTCACGTCCTCATTTAATCAAAGAGTTATTTGCAGGGGCAAGCAGTGAGGAACTAGATGAAAAAGCAAAGCCTCCAGTTGTTCAGCAAAGAGGACGATTCAAAGTTACTTCAGAGAATGTTGACATAGAAAAGGTGACTGAATTTCAGTCTTGATGTCCCTTCTTTTATTGAGATGGGATATAACTCACCTTTTCTTTTCAGGCGGTCTCACCTCTGGTTCTGCAGAAGTCTCACAGCATGCAGGTTCGTAATTTTGAGGTCAGCACATTTGTGCCAATATACCTGTTAGATTATCCTATATCCTTTCCTCCTTTCTAGTTTACTTTTTTATGGTTTTCTAACGATCTTAAGAACTAGCAAGTGAATAAATTTCAAATCAAAGCAAAGGAGATGAATTAAATTATGAGATGAATTATGGAAAACTTAGTAGAAAGGTGATAAGTAAGAACCAAAAGCCTAAACTGGCTTTAAACTAACTATCAAAAATATAAGATATGCTAGATTAATTTTATAGAATTTCATGCAAATTGCTAGAGAAAAGCTTTTTATATAAATGTCATTGGACATGGTATTCTGTGTGACTATCCACCACCATATTTCTTCCATAGTTTCAACAGTCAAAACCATTTAGGTTGTCTTCTTTTATATTTGCTGATACTTTTAAAAAAAAAAAAAAAATACCGGCATGGCTTTGCATATTTACGATTCTTTGAAGAGTTTTGGAGAATAAGTTGTGTAAAAAATGTATTATGGTGTGCCCAACTGATACAACCTAGTATTCCTTCAACAGGGCGTGTTCGATAACAGTTGTAGGAGCAGAATGTTGCCCAGTACTTGTAATGATTTTTCAGTTTATTACTGGGATAGAGCAAAGCCATCGGCTAAAACAGGTCTCAGGTCTTAAGTTAGATGGTCTTTGACTAAAGATGTAAGACAATTTATCCATTCAGATGCAATAAAATTCCAATTTGATTAGATATCACATAATTTTTTAGCCACTCCACAAGTAATAGTTTTAGAATTTCGTGGTCCTTTTTTTTTTTTTTTTTGGATTAATGTCATGAGTGATTTTCTTTTAAAATATTTAATTTTAAAGCACAAGTTTGATATTTTTTAAATGTATTTGTGATTGTGTTAGATTTTTCATGGAAAAAAGTTATATTATATAATTTGTTCCAAGTGCTTTTTTGAAAAATGGAGAAAATGACCAAGAAGACAACAATGTAGAGCGAAGAAGCAAGGAAAAAGAAAACGAAGAGTGTGTTTCTCCAAAAGTTTTACAAAATCAGTATAAAACATTTCTACTAAATAAATAATACTTTTTTTCCCTCTAAGATAGCTAGGTACTTTTTTATTAATATTATAACTAATCATCCACAATGATTACAATTATATACGATGAAATTAATTAATTACAAAAAGATAAAATAAATTTATAGAGCACAATAAAGAAGTACATTTAGCAGTTCGTGAGTGATGAGTAAATATACTTAACACCCCGTAACTATAATCGTGATTCCATTAGGTCCTCATAGAAAAGGTTCGAAACATAGTCTTGGAGGGGCACAAGAGTTAGTGCGCTGTTACTAAGCTACTTGCAAAGAAATTTAGTTCTTTACAGGTTTAATTTTTTGTTTATTTGGCTAGGCTGAGGGGGAATGAAGGTTCTTTCAAACTTTTCGAAAATCATATCTAGTTTTCCCATCAATTTTGAGTTTCATGTCTCAAAATTTTCTTTTACACATCGTCTAGGCTTCCAGCTCTTGACAACCAGCTTTTTCTAAAGATTGACGCCGTATATATATATTGATATACTGAACTAGAGCCTTTTAAATCACTCTTCATTTCTGTAGAGCTTTCTCCTAGAGGGCAGGTCTTTTGCTAGCTAGTGCATATTACTTTATGATCAAAGCTGAATTAGCACCATCCTAGTGATGCAATACAGCTTTGAGGGTTGTTCTAAATCTGATTTTAAAGGTTGTTTAGGGCTCTATTGGATTGTATTTGATTGGATTTATTTAGGCTAATAGGGTTTTTAAAAATCACATCTAGAAGATAGAAAAACATAAGCTTCATACCTAGAGTTCTTAGGAGTCCTTGCTGAAATTTTATTCATAAATTGTTATTCTAAAAAATTGAAAGACTGCATTCTTATTTATAGAGTTATAGAGTTCTAGTAGTACAAATCCAATGAGGACTAGAATTTCTAAATAAAAAAAAATACTAAGTTTACGTAGAATAGAAAAAACCTATTAAAATTAATTATTTTTTGTGTTAAAGGTTCAAGATATCCTTATGTAGTTTCAAATGTCTTAATCGTGTCTCTCTATTAAATTTTTCAACTATCATGTCCTTTTACTCTTAATTGCTTCTGTATTTGGTCCTTCCTATCACTTTTTTAGGCACCAAAGACAAAAATAACAAAACAAAAAATGTCAAAAGTTATCTTTGTTATCTGAAAAAGTAATTGGAGGGACCAAATACAGACACAATTAAGAACAGAGAAACGCGATAATTGAAAATTTTAACACAGGATCACGATTAAAACATTTGAAACAAGTAAAGGAACATTTGGACCTTTAACTCATTATTTTTTAGGACTAATAAAATATTAAATAGAAAATAAAACTTAGTTTCAGGACTATTAAAATAACTTTGTCTTTTAAAATTTAAATAAAACACCTAAATCTTAGTTTTTTGTCATCCGTATCATCCTTTCCAACTTGGAGAAAACTCAACCTTCGAGTTTTTTTGAAGCTTCCTCATCATCAGCATGGTCATCAGCCTCGAAAGTCCCAAAATCAAAAGAATTTCCCGTCAAATCAAATTCTAGTTCTGCGGCGTTCTTTCCTTGTTGCAATCCCAACATGCAAATTATTCTTCTTAGGACGTTTGGTAACCTGTATGTCTATGTTCTTCACATTTAAAACAAACAGGTGCTTCAGTGCTGTCTCTACCTTTGGTATGGGTTATGTTGGAAGAAGGTTTTGAACCTTTAGGATGATTGAAAGGTTATTAATGGATTGACATTCCATCTTTACTCAAGTCAACATTCCATCTTGCTGCTATCTCCTCAGCTTGAAACCCAACTTTTTTTGTAATTGAATACTTTAAGTATCCTTCCGCATCGGTTGCTATTTGACATGCATGTTTTATACTGTAAAAATCATTTTCAAGCAATTCTCTCTTGATATCAGCCCTTAAACCAAGCTTGAATCGAGCAAGGGCTTGTTCAAAATCTTTCATAATTTGACCTCTTATCTTCAGCTCTTCAAATTTCTTCATATATTCACTAACAGCTAGGCTTCCCTGTAATAAAACACCAGCCACCTCATGAATTTTTTTAACATAATGGTTGGCTTGTATTTTTCCATAAACTTATTGATTAGTGATAGGTGCATGTCCCAGTCGACCTATATCTAGGCTAATCTGGTAAGTTTCATCTTTGCAAACCTTATTTTTCTATCATCAGACATATCATACCAATAGAAGAATGTTCCTATGTCTCTTTTCCAATCATTGAATAGTGTAGGATCTACTTTTCCTTCAAACTCAAGAACATCAACCTTTACTTTCTTTGTAATATCATCAACAGTGTCTTGTGGGTCGATTTGCTTTCTATTTTGGATGGGCAACGTAGCTGGTTGGTTATTCTATGCAACTCCAAAATCTTGAGTATGTGGAAAAGAGTTATATGCTATAATGACAACAAGTTGTTTGCCTAAAATGATATTCGAAAGCCTTTCGATTGATACCTCTATTGCTGTCAGTTTAGAATCAAATTTTCCTTCAATATTATCCAACCTTCCATCCGTAGATTTCTTGCTTGCTTCAACTTCTAGTCGAAAGGCTTCGAAGTTTGCATTGACTTCATCAACAGTCATCGCGATTGAAAATGCAATAAATATATATATATAAACACTGTATTGGGTTATATTAAAGCGGATTTTTATTGGAAATTGTAGAACTATTAGAGTCACACTAATATAATTTTTAGAAGTCTGCACCTAGAAGATAAAAAAGCTTAAGTTTCACATCTAGAGTTTTTAATAGTCACAGTTAAAGAGAGATTGAGTCACATAATAAAAAGCAAATTGCTAGAATTTTATTCATAAGCTGCCATTCTAAAATATTGAAAGACGACAATTTTGTTTATAGAGATAGTAATTCAAATTCAATAAAATCTTGGATTCTTAAATAAGAAAGTAACAAGTCTATGTTAAAAAAAAAAAAAAAACTAATAAAGTTAATCCTTAAGACTAACAAAATATTAAATAAAAAATAAAAGGGTTAATATCTTCAATCTGTTCTTATATAATAGGCTAATATTTCAATCTATCCCCGAAAAAAAGCCTCTAATATATTCTTATATTTTGAACCCGTTTCTAATTTATCTTTTTAGTTGAAATTTTTTACTAAATTAAGTGAAATTAAGCATATGATTTGACAAAAATATGTTTTATTATTTGATACAAGTGATCTATACCTATTAATATGAAGATTAATTTCTGAAAATTGATTGAAAATTTTGACTAGAATGATAAATTAAAAACAAACTCAAAATATTAGGACAGATTGAATGCGTTTTTTTTTTTAAGGACAAATTAGAAAATCAATATATTATATAAGAAAAGATAAGGGTATTAACACAAAATAAAACTTAGATAAGTTTTGGATTTTCCAGCAAACTGAAAATTATTAAAATACCCTTACATTTTAAAATTTAAATAAAGCACATAAATCTTAGCCTTTTGTCCACATCACCTAGTCTCATGAAACAAAAAAGCATGCAACCCTTACCGTGTTCCTCTCTGATCATGACAATGTTATGGGTTATGTAGGTGCTTACCCTGCATCCTGGAATTTCTTTACCATCACCATCTGAAGCCATACTACCATCAAGTCTTCCGGGTCATTCTGTGTTTCCATTATTGACTACTGTTTTACAGTCAAATATTACTCAAAGGGTATGTATTGCCCAGTATAGTTTTATATTTTTCCATCCTAAATGTACTCAAAATTTCTTCATATGTCAACTCTTTTTCCCCTTCGACAGGATGGTATTCTGCATCTAATGAGGCAATTTTCTGTTGGTGACACTGCAGGTGCAGCAATTACTTGCCTTTGGAATAAGCTATTTTTTCCTTATCCTGTTCGGTTATCTTACTTGAATTTGTTTTTTTTTTTTTTTCCTCCTTTTTTTCCTAGGCAACCGTACGATTGATGGGGGATGGACACCGGCACAAGGGGGATCTACAGAGAAATCATTGGTATGTAATTCTAGAGCTGATTGCTTTCAAAGGCCTGGGATGATTCTCTTATACAGTCTCAATTCCCCACTCAATATTTGTGATTTATAGTTACATAATCATCTGAACTAGATTTTACTTTATTCCTGAAGCTAAGGAATTTGTGTGTGGAATTTACAGCTAGAAGCAGCTCATGATAGGGAGAAAGAGTTGCTTCATGAAATAACCGACTTGCAGTGCAGGTAATTGTAATGTTATGCAAATGCAGATGAATTTACATCGTATAGTACATGAGTATATTTTCACATTTCTATCAAAAGCAACATCAAATCTTCGTGAAAACCTTGTTCTGTAAATGCAGGCTTATACGAACACAGGAAGAGCTCCAAAAGTATAAAACAGATAATGCTCAGGTTAGCATTTGATATCCCTTTGGCCACCGTCAGTTGGTCTTTCTGGTCATGGAATAGGCTTACACAAGGATTATTTTCAGGTGTGATCTCTTGATCCAAATGGAGTCTGATTGATGCAGAGCAAATCTCAAAAAGCTGACGAGCTACAAGGATGAAGCTCGTAGAGGAGACAGGCTCTAGATTGAATCATATTTTGACACCGAAGACTAATTGTTGGTAGCTCATTATTATTTTTGTAGTACAGATTTGTTTCGGCATGTAATATTTTACCCCAGACGTGCAGATTCGCCATTGATAATTTGATACACCACAAATGTAAACAAGTAAAGGTTTATTTTTATAAACCAACTTGCTAGGGTAAATACTCCTTGATCTGCTTAGCAGTAGGTGTGTAAATTCACCTATTTAACAGAACGTATTTCATTGTCAAATCTAAATATTTGAACTCCAATTTTGGATAATAAATATGATTTTAAAGTAGGCAAATGTTGTGCATTTTTGAGTTATAGTTCTGCTTTCATTGAATATTTGAAGAAACATAGAATGAATAAAGAGCTTCTTAAAATATATTCCACTGGGACTGTATGCATACTTTAGACAAGAAAATAAAGTACATTGACCATTTCTTTCTGAAATTACAGGAGGGAAAAAAATCATTTAGTCCTTCAGTCATGTTAAAAAGTCAATTTATATCCTAAGTTAATTTTTGTGGATTGCAGCCAGCCAATTGGGCTCAAATATTGTTCAGTCCATTGAAATTGATGACAGCAATAAACTATTCTGAATTTAGATTTTAGATTGAAAGGATTTGTTTACTTTTGGAAAACCTTAACCATTTTGGATAATGTGGGTGGAGTAAGGCATAAATTGGTTTTCTGACAAAAACAAAATACTGAAAAGGAATTTTTTTTTCAAATTACACGGACAATTAATCTTAAATTTTCTGACGTTATAAATTGATCGCCTTTTTTTTTAATCATTTTCTGTTTCAATGATCAAGATATACCCAAGAACCAAATATCTTCTTCTTAATTATTATGTAGGCTAGATTGATGCATTCAAAACAAATTAATTTACGCTATTTGGTAAAAGATTTCCTGAACTAGTGATCAAATCCAACTTGATATTTAATCTTTTGATTTTTTTTTTTTTAATTTTAATCCCTCTAACTATTAGATCCAGCGGCGGAAGCACATTATGGGCTACAGGGCCCGGGCCCCCCTCTAAATTTTTTTTTCCTAATGATCCCAGGTGGTATTAAATGTTTGTGGATTATTGGATTTCACTCCTTTTCATGCCATGCACACGCCATACGGGAAAACAAAGCCAGCTATTGGCCTTTTTTGCTTGTAAGTTTCTAATTTCTTCTTGGGTCCTTCTTGTTTTTTTTTTTTTCCGATATTTATATAATTACGAGAGAAAGAGCCAACTTTTTTCTATCTTTGAAGAGTTAAACTTATTAAAAAAAGAAGTCTATTGGGGGAAGAAGGAATGTTTCTTCTTCTTCTTCTTCTTCTTCTTCTTTTTTCCAAGAATTAAGTTATAATTATCTAAAGAAAAGGTACTAAATATATCAACATAAAATTGATAAAAATTGAAACAGCATCTAAAAATTTAATATTTATGAGAATAACTTAAATAAATCTATAAAAAATAACAAATGAACTCTTGAAATCATAAAGGAAAATGTAAATCAAAAGGACTTAGATTTTGAATATACAAAAATTTAAACCAAAAATAAAATAGAAATCTAGGCTAAAAAGATGAAAAATTGAAACAGACCTTGGAAAATAAAAAATTTTAGAACAATTTAAATCAATCCAGATAAAATGCCAAATGTCCTCTTAAGATAATAAAGTTAAATATAGATAAAAAGAAGATATATTTTTAACATATAAAAATTTAAACCCGAGACTAAAATAAAAATTTGCGTTAAAGAGATGAAAAATTGAAACAAACACTAAAAATACAATATTTATGAGATTTTTTTAAATAAATCCATATCAATACCAAATGAACTCTAAAAACCATAAAATGAAATAAAGATGAAAAGAAAATAGATTTTGAATATATAAAAATTTAAATAAAAAATAAAATAAAAATCTATGCTAAACGGATGAAAAATTGAGTACAACTAAGATAAGCCTTGCTAAGTACTATTTTATTTATGAGAAAAAATTAAGATAAGGGATTAAACTAAGCATACTAAACTTTAAGTTGATGCATAAATTTTACCCTCAAGAATTTATTGATTATGAAATATTGCAATTAAGAATGCAATTTGAGTATTTTGATCATGTACAAAATCTTTTTGATTTCAAAACATTGTCAACTATATTTGATTTTGTGTCATTGGTCGATGAAGACAAAAAAATTTAAAAGTTATTCATTTATGTATACGAGTGATAACACTTATTCTTACTCTTTTAGCTTTTACGAGCATAAGGTGATCATTTTAACCTATGAGCATAATCAAGACTAAGTCTCATAACAAGATGGAAGATGACTTTCTTTTCAATAGTTTGTTAGTGTATATTAAAAAAGAAATTGTTGAAAATTTTAGCATAAATTCGTTTATAGATGATTTTCGTGACTTAAAAGAACGAAAATCTCTATTTTAAGTGATCGTATTTTAAGACTATTTTAAAATATATATTGGTATATTATTTATAATATATATAAGTTTGTATAAATTATGACAAATTTATAAATATTTATTTTGACCTCTCGTGAACATTTGGTCATGTGTCCACTACTGATTAGATCAAAGCAATGCACCACCACCTCCATCAACTTTCCTCTAAAAAAGTAAGAAATAGAGACAAGTGGAAACATATTACATGCAGATAATTAAAACACTTATATTAATTATCTAAAATTAGCTTGAAATTTAGAATGTTTTGGAGGAAGGCTAACGGAGGCAATGAATTGCTATGATCTAATAGTTCGATGGGCTAAAATTAAAATCAAAAGGTCAAATGTTAAGTTGATTTTGATCAATAGTTCCGAAGTATTTTATCCAGTAGCCTTTTTTATATACCAACTATCATCATAAGAAATTTCTTATTAATAAAAAATAAAAAACCTCAATTTAGTCTCAAACTATATATTCATTCTCAGCTAAATTCCAAACCTATAAATTTTATCAATTAGGTCTCAAACTTTTCTTCTATTTCTCAATTGTGTCCTTTTTTCAATTTTTTTAATATTTCAAGTCTAATTTGTTTATTTTGTATATTAAAACTGTCTTAATTTGATGAAAATAGAAAATTTCATGAGCATTAATAATTTCAATCAAAGGTGCATATCTATGCATTGAAAATTTAAAACAACATGCATTTGAAAAATTTTGATAAAAATATTGATGAACACTAACAAAAGACTTGATAGAGATTTTTTAATACATTTGAGATCTAATTAATAAATTTTTAAGTTGAGGATTTAACTGAGAATGAATGTATAAATACGTTGGATATTAATCTCTGAAGATCTATTATTCTGAAAAAAAAAAAAAAGGATAAGACAATGTCATTTATATCTAAGAGAATTTGATCGTGAAATCACTAGCTTTACAAAGTATTATGTAAATAATTTAGAAAAAAAAAAGAGCGAAGCTGTCTCTAAAAGCGCAGTAAATTACTCAAAGTCCATATATTTGATAAAAAAATAATAATCAATTAATCCCTATTTACTAAACATAATTAAATAAGCTCTTGACTATCATTGACCATCATTAGTTTACTAATTTTTTGTTAATTTCTCATCCTTTTTGCTTCTATTTTCTTATTTATATTTCCAAAAAAAAAAACTTAAAAATAAAACAAATAGATTGAAAACGAACATAAAGTTCCCAAAAGGACAAATACAATCCCTGAAACCACAATAACTAATTAATCAGTATTTTTAAACTAAAGGGACTAAGTTATAACTAACCCTATTCTTTTTCTTAAGTATCAAAGGCAAAGGGTTCATGACTTCAAAAGTAGCAGCGGCAGCCTATACTTTACCTTCGAAGTCTCTCTCCTTACATAGAACCTTATTCTGCCAAAAAGCAAGGCACCAAATTAAAGCACTTTGCGAACAGTTGTAGTTCTGTCTGAACTGGGTTGCAATATTTTTTGCTTGTAATAATTCCATGGAGCAGAATTTGCTTTCGTCAGTACATTCCACAGTGTTTAAAGAGTCAGAAACTCTTGATGGGAAATGCATTAAAATTGAAGGTTATGACTTTAATCAAGGAGTTAACTACTCTAAGCTTCTCAAATCCATGGTATCTACCGGTTTTCAAGCTTCCAACTTTGGAGATGCCATTCAAGCTGTCAATAACATGGTGAGTCAGTTAGTCTCGTTTCTTTACAACCTTAGACGCTTTGCCTTTTTGGGCTCTTTTGTTTTGGTGTTTTTGGATGACTCCAAGTGTTTTTTGTGTTTGATTTGATACCCAATTTGTTGATTTTATGAATTTGTTGTTCGTTTGGATTGAAGCTAGACTGGAGGCTTGCTGATGAAGAGATAGCAGATGATTGTAGTGAGGAAGAGAGGGAGTTGGCTTATAGAGAGTCTGTGAGATGCAAACTGTTCTTGGGTTTTACATCAAATCTTGTTTCTTCAGGTGTTAGAGATACAATTCGATATCTTGTTCAGCATCATATGGTGAGTAATTTCATGGTTTGATATTTATTGATATATTTGATGTCTGGTGTTTGATGGAATTACTTAAAGAAAGTGAATTGAATTGAATTGAAAAGCTTAAATCTTTTCACGGACTGCATTATAAGTCTAGTTCACTTGAATTGCTATTCTGTTGTAAAATGTGTGTGTTTATGTGAAATTGAACCGACATATATATAAAGCAGAATCAAATGGTTTGCCCTTTAAATGGATATGTTGGACTGTTAACAAAAAAGATTGCCTTTTGGTTTTCTCTCTTGGCGGTGGTATTGCTTATGTTTAAACTTTAGAGTTGTTCGTTTCAGGTATTTGTATCATTCTAACTATTTGGGCTTGTTTTATGAGAAGTATGTTTAGAGGTTTGGTACTTGTGGAACCTATGATCACCTTAATGTCATTTTACTAAGATGTTAAGGTTCTGGATGAATGTGCTGCATTAGTTTAGAGTTGCTTGGTTGTAACTTGTAAATAATTTAGGCAGTCCGCCCTCTCGATTCCATTCTTGCCTTTCGTCTCAAATTGGTTTATGTAATCCATATTTGTAAGATGACTGCAGGTTGATGTATTGGTTACAACAGCAGGTGGCATAGAAGAAGATCTTATAAAATGCCTTGCACCAACATACAAAGGTGACTTTTCTCTACCTGGAGCTCAATTACGCTCGAAAGGGTTGAATCGGATTGGTAACTTGTTGGTTCCTAATGACAATTACTGCAAGTTTGAGGATTGGATCATTCCGATCTTTGACCAAATGTTGAAGGAACAAATCGAAGAGGTATTGCTATAACAACTTTGAATCTGTTTGGGCTGCCACTGCCTCAAAAATCGACTGAGTATGAGGAATGACTGCTGACTCTTTTTCCTTCTAATGCTCTGTTTTCCCCCTTTTCCATCTTTCCATTCTCAGAGAAGCACATCTTAAAAGTACTTTAGATATTTTAACTGAGCTGATGTGCTGACATATCAGCAAATAACAGCCAGATCTGGACTAAATTAGCAGATATCCAAATCTGAACTGAATGATTGATTTCAAGGAGTTTAGACACAAAAGTAAGAAAAATTAAAGTGGCAGTGCTTCATTGTTCTATTGTTTTCTTTCTTTCGTTTTTTTTTCTCTGGTAAAATTGATTGCTAAAACCTTCGTGAATAATTTAGTGTTTACTTTACCATTTGTTTCATTGCTTTAGAAGAAAATAGCTCTTATTTTCCTTTCACATCTTCTTTTGGGTGTTGCAGAATGTTTCCTGGACACCTTCCAAATTAATTGCTCGCATGGGGAAAGAAATAAATAACGAGAGTTCGTACCTTTATTGGGCATATAAGGTAAGTGCTTAACCAACTTTAGCTTGACACGTTTCATTTATATGAAAAAATATTCTCCCATGGTTTATTAAAGCTATTCCCCACTAATATGATCGTTTCACCTGCTCTTGGTTTTCTTGTTGAAATCCTATCATGATTGTGTATTTTTTACATATGCCACATTAAAGACATATAAATGGTAGCTGTTGGTTTAGTTCTAGTTTCACACAATAGCATACATGCCAAATTGTTATGCATCTAAGTAAATAGTGATAAAAAATTTCTACTCATAGATTTGAGCTGTCAATCAAACCTATTTTCCTTTGCAATGTGAGATTGGGAGATAAAAGACATGACTACTACATGATTTACAGGAGGACTACTATAGAAAATCTGATTAATAATTCTTTTGGATGTTATTAGTGCTATGAGAACAATGGCATGCACATTTGTGTGAGTTGATGTTGCTTTGGATGTATTTTTCAGAACAACATTCCAGTATTCTGTCCAGGCTTAACAGATGGTTCCCTGGGAGACATGCTGTACTTTCATTCTTTCCGTAGCCCTGGCTTAATTGTTGACATAGTTCAAGGTTGGTGTTTGCTGCTGCAATGTTATATCTTTATGATGATTAAAATTTTGAGATACAAACCCAATAATAAAGAGCACTTTGAACAGATATCAGAGCCATGAATGGTGAAGCCGTTCATGCAAGTCCTAGAAAAACTGGCATTATCATTCTTGGAGGTGGGCTTCCTAAGCATCATATATGCAATGCCAATATGATGCGTAATGGTGCAGATTATGCTGTATTTATCAACACAGCACAAGAATTTGATGGGAGTGATTCTGGAGCTCATCCTGATGAGGCTGTATCATGGGGGAAAATACAAGGTTCTGCTAAAACTGTTAAGGTATGATTCACTTTCCCCTAATTCCTCCTTTGCTTGTGCCATTTCAGGTTTTCTGATCAATGCCACTTGCAGATCTCCCAATTAGCCACGAGCATCACAGTTCTGTGTGTTATTTCCTTGCATGTCTGAGTTTGAGATACTGTTGCAATTTTTCAGTCTAGTGATGTTCTGTGGTCAGTGCAATGATAATTCATCTGCCTCATTGTTGGATTTAATTAGGTCCATTGTGATGCAACCATTGCATTTCCTCTACTAGTTGCCGAAACATTTGCCCAGAGGAGGAATAGATCCTGCAGCAAGACTCAACACTAAAACTCTCTGCAATTTTTGGCCGAGTTCTGATTCATTTTTATTTATAGCACAATTGAACAATCCTCAGGGTGGTGGTGGTGGACTCCAGTCATCCCAGAATATTTTTTGGCTTCTCAAAATCGAGGGCTCTGACAGAAGACACTGCTCTCAGCCTCTCGCCATTGTTTCGCTCTCAAGAAAAAATAAATTTAAGCTGTCTAACGGAGTTCAGGGAGGAGGAATATTTTCCCCTCCTTGAGTTTTTCTAGTAGCGTAGACGATAGAGGTAAGTATGTGCAAGGCTAAATAACTTGCAAAATTGGCATTCTGGCCTCGCATTGTCTCTCAAATAACTGGCTAACGCATGAACAACAAACATTATTTGTTACATTCAAAAGCAGCCTTTCACAGGCCATGAAGGGACTGTTTTGATAGTTTAGTCTACATCAGCAGGGTAAGAGCCAAGACGAGAAACTCCTTCAAGGGTGAGAAAGATCCTTGAATGATGATATGGTATTGAGCATTGAATTTCTGATCATCATAACTTCTAGGATGAGCCACCGCAGAGGTGGTTTCATAGGCTTGCCACCTACACAAATTGATGGAAGAAATACCTCATTACGTTAATCACGCAACATGTGACTACGTTTCTCTTCTGTCTTTGAACGTCTGCCATGGGAAAAACCTAAAAAATGCTTATGGTACCAATTTTGTTCCAAATAAATTTTTATATCTCATTTGGAGTTTTCTATTAGAATTTCTTGACAGAAAACGTTAATTTTCTTTAAAATTGACTTTTTTTAACCCAAAAAGATACCATTTGGAGTAACATTGAGATGCATTTTTTGTGGTTTGTCCTTTTTTTCTTTTTAGGGAGTATAAGATTAATCAAAATGTGCCATACGGAAGGAATTTCAATTCTCAGTACAAGTCATTGTCGATTAGATTGATTGCTTGATTTAGAGTAAGTGGGATTCGATAATATTAGCATTATTCTTTTGCACTTCGAAGACATTTAGTAGAAAAATCAATGACGAAAGGTTGCATCAATTATGTACTAAAAAATTATCAGATGCCGATGATAGTTGATCATTTGCATTGAAACCAAAATTAACGAAACTTTAATTAGGATATTAAAAATGTTTAATGTCAATGATTAATGGGTATTGATTCTAGACAAAAGTATGTGAAATTTAGCACGAGGAAAAAAATCATGATTAGGCGGTTTAATAACATGTAATTAGAAAGAAGTAATTTCTTTGGATAAAACACGCTAGCTCTTGTACCTTTGAACCCTTAAATAAGCACAAGAAAAACAACAAAGGTATTAAGAAGCCATAGATACTTGTTCTACTAAGAAGCCATAGACAACACAAAGAAAGGGTTACTGGCTTCTGCACTTTGCATCGTTTTCCTGACATGGTCGATTAATGTCTTTTGCAGAGTATTTCGTACTTCTTATAAAATCATATAAAAACAATCCATAATTATATGCGAAATTTCATAGCCGACACTTTCAGTTAGCCGACATTAATTCAAATTGAAGCGTAGATTGATGTTCTTGGCCTACGATGTCAAGAGTTGATTGTCATATATTTTGATGGAATTACATTTATGTTTTTTGATCAATATTTCTTAATTGGGCTGTTCAAACTTCAAAGCCACTTTCTTTCGAGGCAAAGAAAGAAATTACGGGATTTCCCATTTTAAATCACATTTACTAAGATTTGATTAGTTGTTGCTGCTCAATATTTAGGACCCAGTTATATGCCCTTATGGTGACTATTGTAAATAGTTGGTCATTTATGCTCAAATGTTTGTTATCAATAACACATCTATGCAAATTTATTAAATTGTTCTTAATATACATTATTGGCACAAATTATGTGTTTTAAATTCTTTCGAAAAAATTTATGAAAAAAACAAATTCGTTTGTCAAAAAAAAAAAAAAGTTTCTATTTATACACAAATTGATTTGAAAATACTTTTGTCGTCAAATTAACAAAAAAAAATCCATAACTAAGGAATTATCTATTGCTATTAGCCAAAAGTAGGGCTGTTAATGGATTGTATCATAGTAGAGCAAGATTCGATTATTTAGTGAAATGAATCGAATTGAATATTATGAATTCAAATCGAGTTTTGAAAATATGAAATTCGATTAAGATCTTAACGGATGCAAATTGGATTCGAAATTCTATCGAAATTATCATTTGATTTTTGTAAAAAAATTATGATTACTACATTTCATATATTATGATAGAATATAAAATCTATTTCAATCATTGTATGTAATAAAATATATTAAGATAATATCTTATTTATCGATTTTGTAAAAAAATTAAATATCACACAATTCAAAAGTATAAAATCAAATAATGTTAATAAAAGTTTTTCTTGAACCTATGATAAAATAATAATAATAATAATAAATAATCTTTATTTCCTGTCCTTATATTAGCAAAAATAAAGTGATGACAAATATAATATCACCAAGTTTTAAATATATATATATATATATATGTAAGTCAATTTATAATTTTTTCAGGAAATTAAATTAAGAAAAGGACAAAAAATTTATATATGATTTTTTTTAAAAAAAAATAGCTATTACTATTGAAGGATATACGTGCTTTGAACTTTATAATAAATAAATTTTAAATTTCAATCTAATTGCATATATATTATTTTAAATTTTGGATCAGATTATTATTGAATCAGATCAAGATAGATATGGATTTGATTCTTTTAATAAACATGTTAGTAGATTTAGATAATAATCCAATTTGAATAAAAAATTTATTCATTAAATCTACTTACTTATATCGGATTTGGATCAAAATCCGATTCATTTATAACTCTAGCTAAAAGCAATAAAGAAACCACTAGAAATCACCAAAAAAAGGAAAAGAATAAGGTTGCAATAAGTTCCTCCTTTGTCATCTTCTATTGTGGATTGGGAGACATGACTTGTATGCGAGGTCGATCTAGCTAGAGAAATATATTTTTCACTAATGTGGCAGGGCTATGATTAGCTTTGTGGCTACATTGTAATCTTATTGTGGCCTGGTAGAAATTTTTGGCCACCCTACATTTGCTCAAAATAATCCACCCTTGAAATTAAGACTTTTACGATTTAAACTGAAAAATTAAATCAAAATATAAATTTTAATTCGATTTTCAACTTAAAAATTCAAAAAACAAAAAGAAAACTGAACTGAATTTGTTTTAGTTTTTTATTTTTTGGTTTGTTTTTGAAATTCTAGGTTTGGTTTGCACCAAAAACCGAAATTTTTAAAAAAAAAATTTAAAAGTTTTTAAATAATAGAAATAAATCAAAAACTCAATCTTTTTTAGGTTGGCTCGCGAGTTTGGGTACTGAATCCGGTTACGGACAGGGTTATGGATCTCTGACCGGATAGGGGTTTGGATCTGAAAATTACTTGTCATTTGGGTTTTAGAGTTTGGCCCATGCATGGCCTAAATGAAAAGTGTGCGAGCTTTTGGGTCATAAAACAAAAAGTGTGCTATTGGCCCCTTGGTCTTGTTGTTGTCAAAAAGAGTTTATGCTGTTCAACTTTTGTTACAATCATAAAATTGGGGCTTACGAAAATGTAGTTAATTACAAATTCATTTGTTAACATTTATTCTTTCGACTAATGGAACCAGTTATGGGTATCTTCAATATACTTTTAAGCCTGATGCTGTTTTTTTTTTTTTTTTTTTTTTCAAAGGATAACTACATTATTGTAACGTTTGTTCTTTCGACTAATGAAACCAGTTATGGATATCTTCAATATACAATTCACAAAGAGATGAATAATAAGGTCACAAAGCGAGAGGACAGGGTCTATGGAACATTCATATTCCAAGTTAGCCTATTTTTAGGGAAAGAAAGAACTACGTACATAGCGTTCATGGTAGAATCTACAAATTGAAAGAACCTCCATCATCTCCTGACCCTCATTTGCAACCAAACAAAAGTCCCAACAGACTCGGTTACGCAGAAAAACTTCTCGACAAAAATAGACGACCCTTTTTCTTATCCACTCATTTGCCATATAAAAACTCCCTTTCCCTCTCTTTCAATGTAGATTTATGTAACCCCATCATCGATTATCAAAAAATGTCACTCAGATTCTCATCAATTGTTGCTCTTTGTTGCTCTTACTTTCTTTTCTTCAACGCTGTTACAGCTTCCAACATCACACAGATCCTAAGCCAGTACCCTGATTTCAGCACCTTTAATGACTATTTGACACAAACTCAACTGGCAGGTGAAATTAACAGCCGCCAAACGATCACGGTCCTAGTGGTGGAAAATGGGAACATTTCCCCTCTTTCTGGAAAACCGAAGGATGAGATCAAGAATATTTTGAGTGTGCATGTAATACTAGATTACTTTGATGTTGCAAAGCTGCAGAAATTACAAAATAAAACTGCAATACTCACTACACTTTTCCAGTCTAGTGGGCTGGCCAGAGGCCAACAGGGGTTCTTGAATGTCACGATTTTGGGCACTAATTCAGTTGCCTTCGGGTCAGCAGTTCCAGGATCGATCCTTAATTCAAATTTGGTTAAATCTATTGCCTCCCAACCCTATAATATTTCAGTCTTGCAGGTTAGCAATGTTATTGTCCCTTCAGGTACTGGCAATAATACTAATACCAATTCAACCGCCTCGCCCCCAACACCATCTGCACCTGTTCCTGCAGGCCCACCACCAGCATCAAGTCCCCAGAAGCCACCACCCAGTAATGCACCTGCACCATCCACCGCAAATCCTCCTCCCAGTAAGGCACCTGCCCCATCAATGGCAAAGCCTCCGGCAACCGGGACTGCACCAACAGCTACTCCACCTGCCGTGTCTGACTCACCTGTGGGAGGACCTCCACCAACAACTGCAGATGGCCCTGCTGCAGATTCTCCAACTTTATCTCCTCCAGCAATGGATGGTCCAGTAGCAGCAACTCCTGTTGCTGATGGCCCTTCCGCGGACGCTCCTTCAGATGAGAAATCTGATGCATCTGTCATTAATGCTGGAAATAACGTTGCTTTATTCGCACTGATCCTCCCCTTGGCGTTGGTTCTGGCCTAGATTATGTTAATAATAGCAACAAAAAAAAATTATGATCTTAGAAAGATTAATTAGGTTCCTGATGCTTCAGACTTGCCAAATTGATGGCAAGTTGCATTTACGTACGTAGTGCTTCTTAATTTGCATCAACTACTATTCATTCTTGTTTGATTTAAGCCTTCAGTTTCAACTGTATGTGCCTTCAACATTGTTTGTAAACCTTTCCCAGAAAGGAATTAATTATCTGAAATGAGCACTTGAAGCATTACAGAGAATAGAAGAGCTATACTTGATCGTTGATTTTTTTTTCTTTTTCTTTTTTGCTTTAAGGGGAGAATGTCATCAGAACCAAACTTTCTTTATATTTTCGTTTCCTTTTATTTATTATATGGATACCAACTTGCAAAGCCAATTATTCAATGAATGAATTAGGAGAATAATTGGCTTTGCAAGTTGGTATCCATATAATAAATAAAAGAGGAAACGAAAGTATAAAGAAAGTTTGGTTCCGATGACATTCTCCCCTTTAAAGCAAAAAAAAGCATAATAATAATAATAATAAATTGATAGAGAGTGAGCCCCACAGTGCGGACCCCACTACATGTCTTGAAAATCCTATTAATACCAAGCAGATAACGAAGTAAAACAATATAATTAAGAAGAATACATGTCTTATTTAATTCACTACTATAATCTTAATGGGAAAAATAAATGGACAAAATGGTAATTTAAAAAAAATAGTTTTATAAAACCAATGCCCCGACATGGCTCAATTCAAAGTACAAATTAGATAACTTAAAAATAACATGCTTCATTAAACTAATCAACCTAAGAGAAAGACTCCAAACACCTTCGATCAAACCACAAAACCAACAATTTGAGCATTTGACGGCATTTCCAATGGGGTTAATCATCTGGTTTTTGCTCTCGTTCTTTCTATACCAACAGCCATTGGCTTTGGAAAGTGCTCATGAACTGAGTCTTCAGTTTCTGACTCACGAGCTGTTAGCATCAGCAAGAGAACCAGACTTCTTTGAATGGGTTAGAGGAATCAGGAGAAGAATTCATGAGCATCCGGAGATAGGATTTGAAGAGTACAGAACAAGCGAGATAATAAGGTCTGAGCTTGACTTGCTTGGAATTGACTACAAATGGCCTGTTGCCAAGACCGGAGTGGTAGCTACCATTGGTTCTGGTCAAAAGCCAGTTTTTGGTCTCAGAGCTGACATGGATGCCCTTCCTATTCAGGTCCTCACTCTTTCCCTCTTTTGTCTAATAGGTCTATAGTCCCATCATCCTCAACACACACAAAACGCTCATAAATATATGGAACAAGTCCCTCCACAATTGCCTGCCTATGGTCTATGCAGCAATTTACACTAAGGGTATCTGTTTTTTTTTTTTTTCCAACTATTTTGAGCTGTTAGTAAATTTTCATTCCTTGAAATTGAGATCATCTACCAATAGCTATCCTATCACCCTTAAAACACACAAAAGACACATAAAAATATGAAGCGAGTCTGGACTGTGTGCGAGTTAATAACTTCAGCAACTTATACCAAGTAAATCTGTTTTTTTTTTTTTTTTTTTCACTGTTTTGAGCTGTTAATAAATTCGAATACCTTGAACTTCACATCTTCGGTCCAAAGGAAGAAGTAGAGTGGGAGCACAAGAGCAAGATTGATGGGAAGATGCATGCCTGCGGTCATGATTCTCATGTAGCAATGCTGCTTGGAGCAGCCAAGTTACTTCAAGCCAAAAGAGACGCACTGAAGGTAGAATCCCACTAATCATTAGAGAGAACAATTAATGGAGATTCCGATTTCGATTTTTTTTTCTTTTTTATCTTTCTATTGATTCTAAATTAAATTTGGTCTATAAAGGGAACTGTGAAGCTTGTTTTCCAGCCTGGAGAAGAAGGATACTGTGGTGCTTACCATATGTTACAAGATGGTTGTCTTGATGACATTGATGCCATCTTGAGCATACATGTTATTCCCTCAGTAGCAACCGGCGGCATTGCTTCAAGACCGGGTCCATTGCTTGCTGGTGTGGGGCTTTTTGAAGCTAAAATCCAAGGAAAAGGTGCCCACGCTTCATCCCCACATTTGGCTAGGGATCCAATTCTTGTGGCTTCATCCACAGTCGTCGCCCTCCAACAGATTGTATCTCGAGAGACAGATCCTCTTGAAGCTGCGGTATTTCCTTTCCACTTCCTTGAATTCATTCTTGAATTGGTCAATGTAAATCCTCAAGGCACAACTGCCAGTAAATTGCATTTGCATCTAATCCGGCTGTATAGTTTGATACCTCATGTTCAATCACGATCTGCCTGATATACAGACGGTTTGATTCATCGAGTCAAATCCGCACTATCTCTTTCAATCCACAGTTAGGTTTAAAAATTGAATGGAGCTAGCAAAATGTTAGAAGGTTCACAACTTGCCCTAATTTACTAGGGGCAATAGCCCTCGAAGCAACATCTAGTCTGGCAATACATGAATGGAATTACAATGAACTCTACATCCCAACAGCATCTGAGTATTAACGAAAGCAATTCCTTCATTTTAAATCATATAGGTGGTGACAGTCGGGTACATAGAGGGAGGCAAAGCTGGAAACGTTATTCCGGAATCCGTGAAATTTGGTGGAACCTTTAGGAGTTTGAGCAACGAAGGTGTCTCCTACCTACAAAAAAGAATTAAAGAGGTAAAAGCATGCACTCATTGTGCGATCCATTGAAGGACAGAAATGCACGAGTGAAATAACTGAATATGTCCATTTTACAGATTATAGAGACCCTCGCAGCAGTCCATCAATGCAACGCTACAGTGAACTTTATGGAGGACAGGCATCTGCCGCATCCTGTGATGATTAATGATGAAGCACTGTATAAGCATGCAAAGAAGGTTGGAGAGGCCTTAGTTGGAGAACCCAATGTTCAGCTATTCCCGATAACCATGGGAGGGGAGGATTTCAGCTTCTTCTCCCAAAGGATGCCTGCTGCAATATTTGTAATCGGGACAATGAACGAGACTCTGAAATCGAATCAGCCACTTCACTCGCCTTACTTCTTCATTGACGAGGAAGGTCTTCCAATAGGCACAGCTCTTAATGCTGCTGTTGCGATCTCATACTTGGATACACATGCTGTGAAGACTTGTGAGGAACCTCCTTCAGCTTTCCCTTTCTGAATTACAAGCATGGAAGTTTCACAAAATAAAATCAGTAGAAGCACAGTTGACATGATGCAAAAATGAACATGTTGTTGCAGTGTTTTAGTAATTGCAAAATGAATCTACTGTATCACTTCTAGATGTAGAAATTTTTTTTGAACTACTTCTGTACTAAAGATGATATGCAACTACTCTTTCAAGAATCTTGATAAATCAACTGGTACATTCAACTTACAGGTTAGTACCCACAATTGAGAAGGGGATGAAAGGAAAGGAGGAACCTGTAGCTATGCCAAAGAAACTATCAATACTTCATACTGAAAGAAAAAAAAAACCATGGATATACGGAAAAAGTGATTGACAGTTCAATCTTAAATCTTTGCCAAGGTCAGCGTGCTGGATATAGGATAAAGAAAACACCCAGCAAAGACAACTTTTTTAATAAAATATAAATTAATCTTTTTCGTATCGAAAAGTAAATTAATAATTCATTTTATTTTAAAAACTAATTATTTAATTTTTATATTTTTATATTTTTTATTTTAACAAATAAAAAAATTAAAATACAGAAGAATTTATGAGAAAAGATGACATTTTTAAAAATAAAATAATATTAAATTAAACTTGATATATAATAGTTAAAGACTAAATAACTAGTTTTTAAAACAAAAGAGATTAATTAATTTATTTTTTGAAAATAGATAAACTAATTTTACTTCTTTTTCTTTTTCTTTTTTAATAGCGATTTCTTATTATTATTTTTTTTAATACCCTTTTTAATAGTGATATTAATACAAACTCACAAGTCTTCAAAATTTAACAGAACACAATTTTCCTGTCTAACTTCTTCAAAATTGTTTTATTATGAAGTTGCTTTCAATTGGGCCTAGATGCGTAAGCCTGTAACCAAAGTAGGACCAATGAATCAGATGAGTTATTGGCTTTACAAGTTAGTATCCAAAATAAATAAAAAGAAAGTTGAGTTCCAAATTTCAATAGGCTTGTCACCGGCACTGCGCTGCGGACCATGCGTTGAAAAAAGCAACAAAAAAATTAGAGGGCTACATAAGACCAATGATATAAAAAAAAAAAAATTATCATAATTTTATAAGGATAATATTTTTTTGAAATGATAAAAAATAATAATAATAAATAATTTTTAATAGAAGTATTATATTATTTAATTTTTTTATTTTTTAAATTTATGTTTAAAATTTTTTTATTTTTGAAAATGATATATGTTATAATGGCGTGGCCAAACATTTTCGTTTTTATTATTATATTACAAGCCAAAGTTTCATTGACGAGGAATATATATATATATATATATGTTGTCAAGTAAACGGAGGGAGTGTTCTTACATGTGTCATTCTTACATCCACATATTTGGTCAAAATCAACAAACTTGGATGGAAGGATCATATTCCTTGTAGAGCCATTTCTTAGTAAAATGGGCTTACAGAACAGTGATTAAATTGGGGTTTTTAACCGAATGGAGGGCTCAAAAATCCCAAAAGCCCACCACACCCCTTCTTCCAAACAGGGCCTAAGGCAACTTCCACCCCACGGTCAAGCTTTTTAATTAATATATATATTGAAAAGATAAATTAATTTCGTATCGATATTCATAAGACTTCCATTCAAATCCTCCTATGAATTTACTGGATTTCAGAAATTGCAAACTTGGCAATAAGTTGGTTCTATTTATTGTTCATAGGAAAATTAGGATGAAGCAATGGTATTCACCTGGACAAGAACTTGAATACCAGTAGCAAATATATCCCAATCTCTTTGAAACCCAAGCTATCAGATCGCAATCCTACCTTCATGACCAACGATCAAACTCACCAACATAGTAACTTGGTTTTTCTTTTTAGTTTCAACTCTGATCAAATCGAAAAGCAAATGCTAATGAGACGCAGGTCGTATGGTTGACGAGTGGAAGATTAAAGTTCAAATAGTTGAAACTTTAGATGTTGTCCGATGTGAAGGCGAAAAAATTTTAGAATTGAGAGTTTAAAGATTCTTTCGTTAAAGATAAAAAGTTCTAAAACTAAAAATTCTTTGATGCAAAAGTTCTAATCTCATCACAATGACATGAGGCTAGTATTTATAGTGAACAAAGATGATCCTTGATCGTTATAATTATGTCACGTCATCCAAGTTTAGAAGATCATATTTGTTTTACAGAATTTAGATTCCGTGAACTAAATTAATTCAACTTGCTAGTAAAGGTTAAACGAAATAACAATTAAGTTTTTCCTTAGTGGATCATGCTCCGAGCTCACTAAGTTAATCTATTTAATGCATTCTAATGACAAAACATGTTTATTGGTTTCGTTAAAATATCCGTGTCTATTTTTGTGACTCAAGACCTTATGTTGAGTTATGTCTATTTTTAATTCAATTCATTTGTCGAGCAATTTGGATCCATGTAAAAAAAAAGGGATAAATACAGTATGAAAGTTAGTCAAATTAATCAATTAAAATGTTGAGCTTTTTATTCTTGTTTTAAAGTGCTTTTAGGAAACAGGATATGCTTTTATATTCTTTTATATAATAAAAATTAACGAAAGTAAATAGGAGGATCACATTCCTTGCAGAAAAATAAAAAAAATTCATGAATTAAGATCATAAAATAAAAAGTTAGGGACCAAATTACTGTTAATAGAAAGTTCAAGATAGTTTTTAACTGATTGGTAAATAATAATAGCATATGACTAATTAGTAAAATTTACAAGTAAGCCACAATAATCAACATTATGTCGATGGTTAAATGAAAACACCGATTTTACCTGGAATTCAGAGACAAAAATCAAGGGTTCAAGTCTAGCAATTAAAATTTCCACTGCTAGTAAATATTACTAGATTACAGAAGTTCGCGAGAAACCCCAATGCAATCTCTACTCCCACCATCCATTTTGACACTCAGAAAAGTTCGAGAAAGAAAAATCGAGAAAAAAAAAAAGATAGGAAAAAAAATGCACAAATAAACAGTAGAAAGAATTGAGAGAGGAAAAAATTAAAATTAAAATCCAAATCGAAAAAATTAAAAGTTAAAAACTTATTTTGTTTGGTCATAAATTCAAAATACTATGCAACCAATGGGTAATGCTTTCACTAATAAAGGCATGCTGAACATCACAAGCCCCTCTACTCTGAGATTCGAAAACCGCTTAAGCAAAACTTGAGAGTTGCAACTATGGGTCATGTTCTCCTCTTGGTTTATATATTTTTTCGTGACCCTTTTCAAGATATATCTTTTTTGTTGCTTTATGATATAATTGAGGTAGTTTCATCTCAAATTAAATGATTGTAGTTTTGTGTTTTTTTTGGCTTAAACCCTTTTCAATACCCAAAAAAAATATATTTATATTAATGTTAGGTGTTTTGAAATTCTAAAACGACGTAAGATTTGTTTTGACAAATTGATTCGCTTGTTGACAAGGGTATTCAATTTAGTGGAAAAAAGTATGTCAAGAGCAATTTTTCTACAGACATGTTCTATATTGATCTTAATTTCATAATTTGACTAGAAAAAGCTAACTCTGAGTGGCAATAGTAAATTGCTTTTTTGACCCGTCAGACTTGGTCTATTTTCTACGCCGCATCCATACTTCCACTCAACAGACAGCCGGTCAACCAATGTCACGTGAACATTCAAAGTAACAAACACTCCGGCTTGGATAAGTCAACGTAAATACGAATTCAAGAAATTCGATGGGGTCGTCGTAGTTATCAATTCGATCCGATCAAATAGATTCATTTAGAAATTCAAAAATGATTAGGGTTCATAAATAGCCTATTGACATGACACATTTCACTTTTAATTGATTAATGTGTGATTTTTCGGATTAAATCAATAATTAAATACATTTTTCGAGTTAAACCAATATTAGAATACAATTAATGGGTCACTTTTGATCCACCATTAAAAAAAAAGCATTGGATTGGAAAAATGAGGAAATGGATTAATATTTTAACTACAGCCCAGCTCATGGAACACTACCATTAGTTTGCGCCATTTGTGAAAAACAACTTCTTTTGGGTCCTAACTCTTAAGCCCATTGGAAAAAAAAAAAAAACCAAAACGGCGTTACTCATTAGGTGCAAGAAATCAATGAGAGGTCATAGTCAAAGGGCTCTGTATCTCACGCGTAGCGCCATCTACTGCCCTGCATCAATGAGTGGTCACAGCACCCACAGGTCCACTGCTTAGTCTTTCATTGACTGTCATCCTTATTATAAGAAGGATGGACAGGTTTTCTGAGGACATTGCGCAGTAAGGAGTAACGTGTCCCATTTTGTTTCTCCTGATAGCCGTACTCTGTAAAACAAAATCTTTTTAAGGAACTTAGAAGTTCGGGTGAGTTCCTGACAGGATTAAACTTGAGCCCTTTTTCATTTGAACCCTCGATATTTAATTATGGATAGAAGAGAAGCTAACGGTGAGGTTGAGGCCAAGAAGTTACAAGTTCCGGCTGAAGCTTTGGCTGCAGCGAGGCATGAGCTCGGTGAACATAATGGTATTAACATATCCATAGAGGCCTCTAATACCTTCACCTTCAAGAATACCGACACCATGAACCGTGCATTCCTCGGCGAGGTCGGCCCGAAGACTGGAGTTTACATCTATAGTCGTCACTTAAACCCCACCATATTGAACCTTGGCCGTCAGATGGCTGCCTTGGAAGGAACTGAGACTGCCTATTGCACTGCTAGCGGTAAGGATTATTATTATTATTATTATTATTATTGCTATTTGTTTAGATGAATGACAGAGGGCTTAAAGTTATAAAGTATGATAAATATTTCGTTGTTTGCAGGTATGTCTGCGATATCATCAGTGTTGCTGCAGCTTTGCAACACTGGTGGACATGTGGTGGCGGCTAAGACTCTCTACGGTGGAAGTCACTCCCTGTTAACCCATTTCTTACCACAGAAATGCAACATAACAACAACGTTTGTGAACATTTTTGATCTCGAGGAGGTTAATAATGCAATGATTGAAGGAAAGACCAGTGTGTTGTACTTTGAGTCCATCTCGAACCCAACTTTGATTGTCGCTAACATCCCTGAATTGTGCAAAATAGCACATGAGAAAGGGGTCAAGGTGGTGGTGGACAATACTTTTGCTCCAATGATTCTATCCCCTGCAAAGCTTGGAGCAGATGTAGTTGTGCACAGCATCTCCAAGTATATCAGTGGTGAAGCGGATATTATTGCAGGTACTTTATTCTTTAGAAGCGTTCATTTCGTGGTGGAATTACAAGCGTTTTGATGATTTAACGTTTCCTAACTCTTGGAAAACATGCATAGGAATATTGCTCATTTTAAGAACACGATTGATGGAATCTTAGGACATGGATTTATCATTTACGGGATTGAAAATTCATATTGATTCACCAAATCTGTTAAAATTCTTGTTTCCAATTTTCAGAAATTTTAATTGATTGCCAAATTTCTAGCTGATTTTGGTGGTTTAACTTGAAAGAGGCTTAACAATCCTAATTAGTTTAATGCATGGAGCGATAGGAGGTTTGAGGGAGGGATGGATTAGGCAATCAGATTTTATTTTATTATGAATTTGTTTTTCCAATCTTGGAATTGGAAACTCACAAGCATGCACGATAGGTCTTAGCCTGACTGGAGCTGCATAGACAAGTCATGATTCTTGGCTTCATTTTAATTGCTTAATTATTATTGGAATGCCTGTCTAGAGTCTTAAAGATGTGCGAAAAGGAAAAATAAAAAATAAAGTCTTCTAAAGCGTCAATGGAATTTTCGTAGGTGCTGTTTGTGGCCCTGCTGATATAGTGGACCAGATGAGGGATCCTCACCAAGGGCCTCTGATGATTCTTGGGCCGACAATGAATCCCAAGTTAGCCTTCGAAATATCAGGGAGAATTCCTCACTTGGGCATGAGAATGAAGAAACATTGCAAACGAGCAATGAAATTTGTCACCAAAATGAAGGAACTGGACCCTGAGCTTGAAGTCATATACCCCGGGCTTAAAGAGCATCCACAGCACAATCTCTTGAAGTCCATGTCTAATAAAGATTATGGGTTTGGTGGGGTTTTTTGCATTGACATGAAAACTGAAGAAAGGGCTTATCGTTTGATGGACAAATTGCAAAACAACTCCAAATTTGGGTTCATGGCCGTTAGCTTGGGCTATTATGAGACCCTCATGTCTTGCTCTGGTAGTAGCACTAATAGTATGTTGAACAACAAGGAAAAGGAAAGAGCTGGCATTTCTCCTGGGTTGGTAAGATTTTCTGTTGGATACATTGGGAGTTTTGAGCAGAAATGGAGCCAATTCACAGAGGCATATTCAGAAATGTAATGCTGAATTTTGTTCTGCAAGCACAGACCTCGGTTTCAATATTCATCAAACAGCAAAACACTAATTCCATGGTTTGATATAAACATAAATTTGCTTCTGTTGTATTTATCAAATGGACGTTTCAGATTTGATTTTTAGTGCTGTGCTGGGTGCAAACAATTCTATATTTAGGCAACATCCACAGATTTTGGTCAAGCTTTATCAGTTTTTCGAGTATGAGGTGGTCGATTTGCATGTATAAAGTGATTTATTTAGATTCATTGCGGGAGAAAAAAAAAAAAAAAACAAGCCTAACGGTTGTGTATCTTGTACCTAATCTAAGAGTTATAATAACTCTTTTTTTTTGGTTAACATGTATTGGAGAGAAGTATTTGTTATATCTAAAAATTAGATTGGACTTAAAAACCCAACAAATACTGTATTAATGGACTTGTTGGCTGGTTCAAATCATCACTCAAGATACCATCTATTTCTACAGGGTCTGTATTTGTGAGTTTAGGAAAGATAAGTATGTGGGGGGCGAGTTTTTTTTAACAATCAGGAAGGAAGTAGACGAGGAAGGAGCATGAATATAGCGAGAGTGGATAACATGGATCACTACAAAGGGACGTGGGCAACCATGTACTATAAATAAAGAACGTAATCTAGGAGAACAGAACATGAAGAACAACGAAACACCCAACGCACAACAACGTACTTGAAATTTATTAAGCTTAATAGGCTGTTAGTTTGTAAGTCAATAGATTATAGGCGAATGATTTGTAGGTAGATAGCTTGGTGACTTGGTCTCTCTTTTGTACTCAAATTCGTGCATGCGAGTTCCTAATTAATCCTCGAACACTGAATTCCTGGGTGGACATCACGTCTGGAAGAAGGGTCTCGATTTGCATACAAAACTTTTCGTCAATTAATGTAAGATCACTTTTTCTTTAAGAAAAACAAATTATAAGTCATATGATGTTCTTGAACGTTGGGTTTAACTTGAAATGAGTTGTTAGACTTATTGAGATAACTCAAGATCCAATAAACTTATAAGTAAAAATTGACATTCACATAAGATGTGATATGACAATGAGTTATCATGGTAATGAGATTAAGAATTACATTAGATATAATTGGTAAGGAGTTACTTACCTAATCCTTCATGTATGGCTTATTAAGATAACTCAAGGTTAATACATGTTAGAAGATGGGATTCTAACTAATTTATGCTTTATTTTATTTTATGTAATTTAACTAACGAAACCGTACATTTTTTTATCCCGTCAAGGTTGTTGCATAGTATGATCGACAATACATTGATGAGATTAATGGTTAATAGAAGTAATGTCTTAAATAACACAAACTTCCTTCACTGAAAAATGAATAAGAGAAATGCCCTCCAACATGGAAAAATGTTATATATGATAGACGATAAAGAGTACCGTAAAGGGATGCAAAAGAAGAGTTCTAATAACACTTCAAGTATTAATGTTATTGAAATAAATTTTTCTATTTCTAGTCCTACATCATGGGTATTTGATACTAGATGTGGTGCACATGTTTGCATAAATTAAAAAAGACTAAAAGAAGCTAGTAGTCATCTCGTGAATTATTGAGTTTTGCAATCTTACCATCATTGCTTGCATGTTACTTTATTCTAAAATTAACAAGCACAAATATATACTTGTAATTGCAGTAAGGCTTGAAAGTAGATATTAGTATAGCAGATTGATCGATCGAAGCGTTGATAATTTATCCTTACAACTCGCCTCTCAACTAATCTAGATAGATCTAACTCGTGTAACTTAGTTGTCATAAACAAAAACACCGAAAAACGAGCATTAGCATGTATATTAGAGTATATCTAGAAAATTAATTGAAATCGTAAATTAAGAGTACTCTAGTAGTTGGATTGCTTTGCGGATAAATATCCAACCATTTCTTTACATTTTTTTATAAAGTTCTCTTAATTAAGGTAAAAATAAACGTAACTCCGCTGCAATACTTTCGTTATATAAGCCAACGCACACCCTATGGATCTCCCAATAAATCCAGAAAAACATATAGCAAAATAAGCTGTTAAGCTTTTCCTCTCCATACAAGATAAGAATTAATTGCGGGTATGTGAAGTTTTGGTGAAATTGTAGAAATGGCTCAACGGAGAGCAAAAATTCTATCAGGAAAAATTTAAATAATGCGATCCTAGGTTTATGCCTTCGATATATATTTTCCGTACGTAATGCACAAGTCTTTTATGGAGAGAATGCCATCCTCCTCGTAAAATTTTTGAGTTTTGCCCTTCTTGATAAGAGTCAATAAACTCGGGCAATGGGATCGTGCTTCATTTCTTTCTTGATTTTAACTACGAACTCCCCATCCACCTTGTCATATGACGCGACTCAACCTTCTTATTGAGAGCATCCGCCACCATGTTTATTTTTCCTAGTTTATACTCAAGACATAGTCAAATTCAGCAAGAAATTCTTGCCAACAAGCTTGCTTTGGCTTTAATTTTTTATGAGTTTGAAAGTAACCGATACTACATTATCCATCTTCATCATGAATCAAGACCCTAACAAGTAATGCCTCTAAATACGTAGGTAATGCACCACTATCGCCATCTCTTTATCTTGTATTGAATATCGATGTTCGATGTCATTTAACTTCGATTTTCATAATTTATAGGATGTTGCTCTTGCATCAACACACTATTTATAGAAAAATCAAAAGCATGAGTATGTATCTCATATGACTTTGTTGAATTTGCCAAGCTCAATACTAATTTTTTTATGACGAGCTTTCTTTAGCTCCTCAAAAGCTTCATGGCATCATTTCGTCCACTCCCATCTCTTATTCCTTTTCAACAAACCGATGAGACAGTCACCTTTTTTGAATAGTCATGGATGAAGGAGTGGTAGTAATTGAATAATTCAAAAAAAGAGCAAAACTCAAGCACCTTGGTTGGCTCATCCCAATTTGAGATAGCTTTAACCTTGGCCATATCCATTAACCTTCCTCTATTAATTTTATACCTTAGGAATAGTACTTCTTCTTTTGTGAAGAAGCATTTCTCCCATTTAACATATAATTCTTTCTCTTTTAATATCTTGAACATAATACATGGGTGGTCTAAATGTTCCTCCAACATTAAGCTATAAACCACAATATTGTCAAGATGTACCACTATAAACTGATCTAGGTACGGCTAAAATATCTTATTCATTAAGATACGAAGGCAACCGAAACATTTATCAAGCCAAATGGCATAACAAAAAGTTTATAGGAATCATACATTGTTACACACGTCATCTTTGACATAACTTCAAGCAACAATATGTACTTGATAATATTTCAATTTCAAATCAAGTTTGGTGTAGCCAAGGTTTCCCCAATTGATTGAACAAGCCAGCTTATCCATGAAATTAGATACTTGTTCTTTATCTTGATTTTTTTGTTCAATTCCCGATAGTCCAACACATCCTTAGTGACACATCATGCTTCTTTTGGAACAATACGGATGAACCATAAGGCAATTTAGAAGGTTGAATTTGCTCTGCCTCCAACATAACTTCCAATTATTTTCTTAATTCCTTAAACTTAGGAGCGACCATTAGATAAGCTAATATAGCTAGCAGATTGGCATCCAACACCAACTCAATTTAGTGATCTATCTTTTTTTTAGGCATTAACTTTTTGGGCAATTTTGGTGACATCACATCATCAAACTCGGCCAACACATTAGTAATTTATTTAGGCATCTTTACACCCTCTCGTTAAGGAGCCCAAGATCCAATATGTTTGGATGATTTGAAATATTTTATCATTGTATTTTTAATATTAATAAAAATGTTTTTTTTATTAATTCTTGTTATTTATAATTTGATAAAATTAGATAGAAGTTCAAATGATATGCACAACATCAATGATTGATCAATAGATATGAGACAAACGTTAATGCATATAAATGATATCAATAAATATCTCAAGTCATAACATTGTTAAGATTGAACATTGACAATATGCGAAAAGATTTATGAGTGCTATGCTTTCACTATAAGATAACGAGTAGGAGATCTCAAATGTAACGACCAAAACCATTACAACATAAGCATATGTATGTCTATATGGGTTCAGCTTAATGCTTAATTAATTTACTTTATGTTAATGCTTAAATGTTGTCATGTGTGTGGTTGTCGAGAATTGGCGCGTCATAGCATGTTATTTGTGTTGTCAAAACTCAACTATATCATGACATGTCAATTTTCATTAACGTTTATGTGTACTTGAATTACTTAGTTGAATGTTCAGATTTGATGATGGTCGCTGCCAAAAATGACTATGTCCGGACATGTCATTTTTTATTGATGAAAAATACCGCATTCGGACATGATAGTTTACATAAAACGAAAACTCGCCATTGTCGTGGTATCGGCTTTTTATTAACGAATTTTATGTTCGATCATACACCTTGATATATTAATTCTTTTATAATAAAAATTACACAATGACACATTCAAGTATGACTATTACTTGATTTAAGGAGCTTGATTGCATGGATTGAATATTTGAGAGGGACTTAACTCTTTTTGACCGAGTGGAAAGCTATATGTCACCATCATAGCCTACATGGGTGACTTGACTAAAGAAGTGTCATCCTCCAAAAATTTTAAGCATTTTTCTATACATGGATGGCATATATAAAGAGAGGGTGAGGCTATGACTAGATTCTTTTAGCCATTTAAAAATTATACAAGCAAAAATAGAGGATTTGCTTGAGAGGAAGATGCAATGGCTAAGAGAGTTGTCGCTAGTTTTGGCTAAGGGATGGACCAAGTGCTATGAGGATCTCTTGTGGACTTTTGAAGTATTTTCTATCTCAAATCTATAGATCAAGTAAGTGTAACTCACTCAACTATACTACAAGACCTAGATTTAAGTATTTTCTATCTCAACATATCTTATAGGTTTTTAAATTGAACTTATTAGCCCAAACTCCTTTGGCTCAATTAATTATTAAT